CCAAGAAACTGTAAAGGAAGGAAAGATCATGAGATTTGTTTATCATCATAGATGATTCTTTGTCATTCTATCAGATATGGTTCCGAAGGACGCTTTAAAAATTCATTACATAACGTTATTATTATGTGATGTTCTGAGCATTAATATTATGTTAGGATGCAAACTCGATGTGCTTATAAATTCTGTTTGCAGTATTAGTCGTTGTGTGGTTAGAGAGTCTCTCCTGTATTTCCGGTAACTGGAAGGAAACTTTAAAAACTCCAAATATGACTTCAACTGGTAAATATGAGTTCAACAGATTTACATATTTTACAGCACATTCAATAAGAAATCAAATTGTACAGAACATGCCCATTCTGTAGCTTCAAAACTCCTATTAATACGTCATCCGCCTAACAAAAGGAATTATAACAATTTGAATATTGTCTAAAGATGGCACACATGTTCATGGAGAACTGCTATCATTAAGCTATATATTATCACTAAGTTTTTCGGCAATGTCCCTTTATCCCCACATTTTTCTTTCTATGAAGTTCCTTGGCGATACTGAATTTTCTAAATAAAGTAAAATGTTTTCTGTAAAGGGATTGATTTCCAAGAGTCTACAGAAAGGAATTGTTGTTCTTCTTATTTTTATCTTATTCTATTTATAGTTTCATTCCACACTGTATTTTCGGTAAAACCATGGGATTTTCATCATGTGATATCGATAGCCCAAATTTAGCAGGCCGAACACCGATATCAGGTAGGCAGAGGATTGAATCCCAGACCATGTGCATGGTTGGAGCGCCCTAACCGCTGCGCCACCGACGAACAAAACTTACACAAAAGTCACGGTGAAATAACTAGTTCATCGACACAGTAGGATTTTTAGAATCACTGTGCTTGTAACGACAGAAGGCAAGAGTCAGGCAACAGGACGTTTAATTAAGGAAATCAACACATATTTATAGATTTTCATGTACATATTATGGATTATTGTAAGCAGAAAAACAGTCTTCTGAATGGTTGTTTCTCACTGAAACTTTATCTTTCATCTGTTTGTGGCTGTTTCTTGAATGTCAGATCATCTATATGTTAACTGTATCCGCCTACGCAAAGTCTTCTGTGGTTGGTTGTTGAATCAGTCTTTGTTCTTATTTTTCTCACGACCAATATTGAGGACATTAACATTGACGTAAATTACTATCTATCAATTTGGCTAGCAGCCACCTCTCACCACATGCTGAGCTATGACATAATTTTTTCCTCCATCTGGTTGATAATTATTATCTTAAGGATGAGCGATGACAACTAGTATGTTCCTGATGCACACTTCAATTTGAGATATACATGTAAAACGCAGTGATTTCATTTAGACATTTGAAAACAACTATCAAAATTATTTTCTGTTTTGTAGGTTCAGAATTTAAACAGAACTGTAAATACAATCACTTATTATAGAAAATATAAACTGATACAATGGTGCCATCTGAATATAGTTTACAACGCAATTTATCACATACCAGGACGCCAACTAGTCCTATAGATGTAGAACACAGGTTCTTCTGGTCTTAGTGCTATCAGAAATTTAAGGCTGAATATCCATGAAAGTAAACGGTAGTGAAACAAGGTCCTACTATAAGTGAAGCTGATTGCGAAATGTATTTACATGATAAGTAGTAGGAGATTAGTAATATTTTATAACTATCTTATATGAAATTCTCGATCCTGAAAGCTTCCTTTTATAAGGAAACACATATAAAGTAACTTAATAGGATAACGAATAAACTGTTCCAGATTGTAATAAATGAGTGGGTCAAAAAATAACACTGATGGAATATTATCTCAAAAGATTGTGGTTCACACATATTGGTCACTGCATCTTTATAGGTCATTGGAAATTTATCCCAACCGTGATAATAACGAACAGTACGTCGAAACGAATTCTTTATAAAAATCTCCATCTACTGAAATAATGGTTTATGACTACTTTAGTTCATTTCATTAGAATCCAGATGACAGTTAGTTGAAAAATTCTAAGGCATCAATTTCGAATAGTTTTTCCATATATAGTTATATCAAAATGAAAATGATCAACTGCTTTTATTTGTTGTGCTTATGAAGATTTCAATGTATTCAAAGTGAATTTTTTTGATGAACTAGAGTAATATCGGTTCCGACGTGAATTAAGGAGCTATCATTTGTTTAGTTTGAGATAATCTGATTGTGTGCATTGGGAATTTATAGAAGAATTGAGCTAACGAACTCTATGTTATAAGACTAGAATTCATTGAATTATAATTTTGAACTGATTGAGCATTGTGATGGAGTACGACTGTCACGCGATGTATCCACAGCGAAAAAGTCCTGGAGGATAACGAGAAAACTATTTAATTCTTCTTGTTTTCACTGGTTTGTTATTTACTTCATAGTGTGTTGAACATTGCTGTTAACACTAATTTAATACGGACATAAAGTGTTAGCAGTAGTTTTTTCAGCTCATTTTACCTGGAAATAGTGTGATCTATTAAACTGTACTCAAGTATTAGCATATTAATCTTCTTACTTTTCCAACGTTTTACCTTACAGTTCAATGAATGCACTTGTCATTAATGCTAAATAGAAGAATCTCATTACTTTTTTGCCATCTTTTCCTTGTTTCTACTAGATAAACAGTTATTACTTTAAGTATTCCACATATTTAACAAAAGCTATTTATTTGTTATTTCATCATGAAGCTGACATTAGTCAGAAAACCATTAGAAAACAAGCTGGGAGTACTGGACGGCTGTTTCGTCCTGGTTTGAGACTCTTCATCAGTCCGTACCCACCGAGATTCGAACCCAGGACCTTGTGGTTACAAGGCGAGCTCGTATAACATTAAGCCACAGCGGTATAGGAGCTCGCCTTGTAACCAGAAGGTCCTGGGTTCGAATCTCGGTGGGTACGTACTGATGAAGAGCCTCAAACCAGGACGGAACAGCCGTCCAGTACTCCCAGCTTGTTTTCCAATGGTTCTCTAACAGATGTCAGCTCATAATGAAATCGTGTAATCAATCAAATCCCTAGAAACCAACACATGAATATTTGTTATTTCTTCACTAACACAGTCATTATTAAACACACTATCTCCTTTTCCTTCTTGGTGCCATATGGGCATTCTATTTCTTTTTACTGAATCATCCGTTAGAAGTAAAGAGTAATAGTGAAAATAATTTCCTCCCACTCATAACCAGTTTAATGAGAGTGCGTTTACTCATGAATAAATATTGTTAGGCTACTATTTTCATTTGCGTCAAATTAATTTGTAACTAATCTGTTGTGAAAAGCTTTTCAGAGTTTACAGAAAAATTTGTGTATTTCGTGTTGTATAAATCTTCAAGACAAGCCACTTACCTTTTTAACTTAAAACATACCATTTGAAAACATAAGCATTTGAAGACTAATGGAATCTAAGTGAATACTTTATCACAATTCTATTGTAGTAGACTAGGTATGCCGTTCATAACCGCTTCTCCAATGAAAGAATGATAACTAGCCGCAAGAAAGCTCTGATTTCGATTCTTGGTGGACACACTCTTGAACCTCACCTAGTTTGCTAGCCATTAGTAAGCCAGGGAAAGAGGGTTGGTTATGCATAGGGCTAGCAACTTTACCATGTACAAATAAAACCAATGCTAGTAAAATTTCAAAAGTAAAGGAGTCATGTTCTGCTCGGAACACAAAGGAATGAAAAACTGATCAAAACAAACATACGGCTTATTTAAACCTCTGATAAGACTAAATTGTACATCTAGATTGATAATGTTATGGACCGTGACAATAAGTGTTACTTCAAGATTTAATTCTGATTACAAAACAGAAAAAGCTAGAACCACCACTAAACAGATGTTTTCTTCCAAAGCCTGACACAGTTTGTCAAGGAGAAATAGAAGTTTAACTGAGGATATATGAACACATCTGGAAACAATCAGATTATATAGCAGTCAACACTTTGTTTTGAAAGCTTCGAACAAAGATGCTCATAACTGTGGATACGAGAACAACTTTCTATTTTCTAGTTAAGTCACCGGATTTCATGCAAACGTAAATGAATCCGAGTAAAATTCAAATGAGAAATCGTATCACAGTTTTCTTAGAAAATCACATTATTAAAATTACCACACGTAATAACATAAGTTATGTTAGGATTGATCATATAAGATCTTTATCGTATCCAACATACACTGCTTAGTATGCTTCAAGGGAATATATTATCACTGACAGAAGTCACAAGATATTAGTCCTGAAGTAATCCGGAAATCCGACAATGTACGTGTATATATATATGACAATTTATCAATTACCTGTGAATGAATATGTCATTTATGTTGTTCTGTATTCTGATATCATTGAAGTGTGGGCCTATGTAAATGATATCGCTTTCGTGGGTAGACATTAATTAGTCATATTATCAGTCAGTATAATAGATAAATCAACTTGTATCAGTTGAATGCATTCTAATCGATCAACCACTGAGACTGATGCTGCATCAGACTTATATAACACTTCCAGCAATACAACAATGTAGGATTCATTAAGTCAGATTCAGACTATACTAATACAGTGACAAAGCGTTTCAGTAATTTTTAAAAAACTGTTTATCTGATAGCAGAGAAGTTGCGATATGAACAAATATTAAGATCTTATATTGATCTAAATGTGAAGATTACGTGAGTTCAGTCAGAATCAGTAAACTTTGAAAAATAAAGACCATCCAGATTCCTCAAACTAAACATTCTAAGAAAGTTTGTCATTTTTTGTTGTATAACATCATTCTTGGGTAAACATAATACAGCAATCAAACGAAACGCGAATAAAACAATATATTTAAAAATGGTTCAAGAAAGTAATTTATTTTGATGAACAGAAATATCTGCTACCAATAAAATGTATAATAAAACAAGTACAACGATAAAAATACACAACAATTATACTGACTGATGGTCTATCAAACTGTATTATTCTGCTTTATTTATTTATTTAGAACTAATGATCCAATCCAATTTTGAACTATCTATTGAATAGTTTTTTAACCAAAGCCCAAGATACAGAATTGGATTTTTTGGTTTAACAATGAGTACTTCTGTTAGCGCCAAACATAATGGTTGAGCTGGAAAGTAAATTAAATGTTATATAATCAATACTGTAAAATAAAGTGCTATCATCTAAATTAAACTGTGGATTGAATTGTGGGGTTTGCAGGTATCTGATCAATCCTAGAGTCTATTTCTTCACAAATCTATATTATCTCGTTAAACTAATGAAATTCAGACAGCACTGAGTACCTGTTTCTTCTCATTGAGGGAATTAACAACAGTGTGCACTTACCACTGTACGATGAGTCAAGGCCGCCAGTCACTTTGTGACACAACCATACTTCTGCTTACTGGTGGGTCGAAATCGAATTTTCTATGATTTACATCTTTTGCCGGTATGGTGACAGCCCTGTCAGACATAATCAATCGGTGAATAGTTGTCTCTACACTCAACTGAACGTATCTCATTAGTCACAAGTAAACTGGGAGCGGATTTCCTGGAGTTCTAAATAGAAGTTATGAATGATGGGTTCCGTTGACTACTATGTGGAGAAAGTCACTGACAGCTGACATTAGAAAGTTTAAATCACATTGTTGTAGACCACATGGTCCAATGGATTCCAGTCCATTAGGTGATTGTGGACGTGCTCATTTCGTAACTTGACTGTAATCCTGAGTAACGTTCATCCCTGACACTTCGAATAGTTGACTGATTTTTCTCTTTCTTAATGGATACAAAAATATAACTATCATTTAGGTTGAGTAAAATTCACAGTCTAACATTAGATTAGTGTGATTGTCTAACGAACAACTGTATCATGGTAGCTTCCTACTGTTGGTTTTGAAACAGTTTGCCCAGTCTTATGTATCCCCTGATTAGTAAGTCTACATTTAAGTAACTCTTACACTTAAAGGCTCTGAAAAACATCAACTGGAGTACATGTTCAGTAAGTCCTTTCGCAAGCAAATGAATAATTAATCTTTTGCGAAAATAACTTCAATGTGCTAAGTAAGCATTGATGGAATTTATTGCAAAAGTAGCTGTCAAGCTTTCAGAAGTTTTCAAAGTAAGGAAACTACTATTGAATATAACCAAAATGAAGGAATTAGGTCATTATTTTTCCAAGATAAGACCAATAGCTATTTGAAATTATCTTGCGTTAAAATGCTACTAGAAAGTCAGTATTGTCAGTAATCTAATAGAAACATAATTATCACTAATAACAAAGAGATATTGACTGAAACAAGAATAAAAGTTGTTCAGAAAATCGCCTTTAGCCTTTTAATTTAAGAATCCAGTTCTTGACTGTTCAATTACTCATAATCATAAGTTAACTACTATTTGCTTTACCTTTGTTTAGTAGACATTTGTAGCACCACAGGAATTCAGTCTCAGAAATGAAGATTAATGAGAACTTCATTGTCTGACCAATTTATTCGTTATGTTGAATGTTTTCTTATTTTAATAACCTTATTTATATACAGCGATTAGGAAAATATACATTGAGGTATTGAGACTGGAGGCCGATGAGACATATGCCACATTATGGTTTTCTTAAACTTGTAGAAGAAACTGTACCTAGTCCAGAAATCATCGCTTCTGAAACATTTTTTCTGAGAATATTTTAATCAGCATAGTTTTTATTTAGACTGAAGGGAGGATGAGATACATCTTGGAAGATGTCATAATGTACTAATTTAAAAATAACCAATAAGTTTGTATTCGATCAAAGGAATCAGAATTCAGAAACTTGGAAGTATAACTTACTTATTTAGCAAGTTATGTAGTAACACACATTTATTTTCTACGTACCACAAAAATGTTGACAATTACGGATCATTTTTGGAGCGAACTCAAATATTTAAGTAGAAGTTACAGTGAGCAACAGCTGGGAAGGCATTCAGTTTAAAAATATACACAATTTTACTAAGTCTTAGGTGCACTGCATAAAATCAGTAGTTTTTTTTTTTGGCAAAACTAAAATAGTATCTGAAATCTCATCTTATATTCAAAGAGTAGACTCCTTCAGTCGAATATCTTTCGTTTTCAAGAATCATCTTTGAACCTTAATTGTGTTTAACCTCGCCTAGTTTACTAGCTCGCTAGTTTTTTAGCTTGTCCCAAGCCCGGTAAAAGAGAGAAGCTCGGTTGTGGGGCTACCGCCACTACCTCACAAAACCATTCAAACTGCTACAGAAACTTCAAGGCAGAAAAATATTAAAAATACAAAAAATTTGAAAAATAAACTTATTTTTCATAAGATTATAGGTTTCCAGACCGTAGGTGTTACGAATTTCCTGGAATAATTTGAGCACCGAGTCAGATTGATTCATTATAAATTATTTAAATTAATCCCAGCGTGTTAAGAAAATCTAAACAAGATTTTTCTGAACGTTTCGCCGTGTAAGCCACAGCTTCTTCAGCAGATTTATTCGGATTATAATTAAAATCAAAACATGCGAGAAGATATGCCATAGAAGTGCTGGTAATCTGAGAAAACAGATGGAATGGAAGTGGACTTTCGAGATTATCAACTAGATAGTCAGTAATCCACTCCGGTCTGGTCAACCAGACGACAACCACAAGCACACTGAGGTAGTCAGTGAGTATCATGACGTCACCAGTGGCAGCCGAAGCCCTTGTTCAGTGGGGACCAGTCTCATCATGCGGGATCATGACAGCAAGATTCAGTTCAAGGAAGGAAGGTCACAATTATCCAATGCTACGCACAGTGTTACAAACAACGAGGAACAGGAGAAGAGGGAAGATTCTTACAGACAATTACAAACAGCAGTGGACAGCATCCCAAATAGTGACATCAAAATTATTATGGACGATATGAATGCTAACCGAACTAGGAGTAGATAATACAGGAAGAAAACTCATCACGGGTCGAGAAGTAAATGAGAACGGAGAATTCTTTGCAGATTTCTGTGTCTTCAATGACCTGGCGATCGGGGGCAGTGTGAATAGTGCCATTATTGCAAAAAAACTTTAGAAGGAAGGAAAGGTGCTTACCGATTGGAAGAAAGGTTAGCTATCTTGTCAAGTTACCAAAGAAGGGCGACTTAGGCCTCTGCAGGAACTGACGTGGAATAATGCTCTTGTTTACGTCAAGTAAAATACTAAGTCACGCCATCCTGGAGAGAATAAAAGATTCAATGGATGCAGAACTCCGCTTCATCTTCAGAACAAGCTGGATTGAGGAAAAGTAAAACATGCACCGATCGAATTGTAGCTCTGTGCATCATCACCATAGAACAAAGCACAGAATGACAGTAAAACATCCATCTCAACTTCATCAACTTCGAAAAGTCCTTCAACAGATAGCGTTGACCATGAAGTAATTTGGAAACTACTCCAACACTACGGCGTGCAGTGCCCGAATCTATATTAACCTCATTCAAAAGGTAGCTATATGACAATGCCCATTGTCTGGTGATCCACAACGGGAAACTCAGCGAGGTGTTCGAAGTGAATGGAGGAGTAAGGCAATGCTGCCTACTATCACTGATGATATTCGTAATTGTGGTGGACTGGATTGTGCTTTAGACTGTGCATGGGAGACAGGGGGAGACAGCAATACTCTGGAGCACCGATAAGAAGACTCCAGAAGACCTGGATTTCGCACGTGGATGATTTATATCTCATGTCACACAAACTGGCTGAAGAGGCAGACAGAGAAGACAAGACTGCAAGTGAACATAGAAAAGATGGAGTTGATGAAGACAACCAACTAACAGCGACAGTAAACACCACCAATCACCATTAATGGGAGAGATTTGACAGAGGTTACTTCCTTTACTTATTTAGGAAACATTGTTTCAGCCACAGGCAGAACGGATGGATGAAGGTGTCAAAACCAGGATCATCAGCCTGAAACCAGTCGGGGGATCTTCTGCACTCAGCATAGACAACAAGACTGGGATTTTAAACACAAATGTGAAGTGAGTCATTTCTTCCATAAGAATCAGAAAAATGGCGAACTAGTCACGAAAAGCATTTTCAACACAGGTCACTGCAGACTTTTCTCAACAGCTGCCTCCACCGACTCCATTTTGAGGATCGAATGGCCAGAAAGCATTAGGAACCAGAAACTTTGGGAACAAACCAACCATGAACCTATCGTTCAGTAAATATGTAGGAGAAAATGGAGATAGATTGGGCAAATCCTGAGGAGACCGTTGAATTACATCGCTCTCAATGCAGGGTATCTCTCGAGTGGAATCCTAATGGGAAGTGACGAGTGAGTCGTCCGTATGAGGGTAAGATGGAGGGGATTGTGTGAGAAGGAGATGAGAGATTGTAGGCAATCCTGGACCCGGCTGAAGAGGACAGCAGAAAATAGAACATAATGGAGATATGTTGTTGAAGCTCTATGTTCCACTGGGAACCCAAAGAGATAATAATAATTAATATTATATTCGTGTGTGTAGGGTTTATGTGTATAAACGTAATAGCTCAGTTCATTTAAATTTGCAAAAAGAATGTAAGTTCGTGACTCAGATACTGATATAATGTGAATTTCAAATAACTTACTATACCAGCCATCAGAACACATACTACTGTTACTAGCTTCATGATGCCGTGTACTGCTTGTACTTCCATGTAAGAAATTACTTTTGTTAAAGCTTTTTAAGTCCTTTAATTAGATGCAAAATTGCTGGACGCAATCAAAGGAAAGCCTTGGACCTACGTTTCGTGCTTGTTGGCACTCATCAGCAAGGTGTAGCTGAAATCCTGAAGGAACAATGTCCCTTCTGAAATTCGAATCCAGATCATCCAGTGCTGAAGTCAGAGACGCTATCACTAAGATATTCGGGCTCGCAGCTGACCTCCTCTAGGACTGTAATAATTACTTTTGTTGGACAATATGTAGTAATTAGAGTCACGTGTCTAGTCCGTCGTTCGATGCAGAGTGAATTCTATCAGTCAAGTTAGCAGGGTGACCACCACGGTAGGTGGCTCATAATCACGATGCACTCTGAAATGTTGTTGTTAGATGGTTGGAGATAGTCCACACAAAGCCTTGAACCTGGGTTTCGCGCCTGTTGTCACTCGTCAGCAGTTTGTAAATGTAGTCTTGAAGGGACTCATGTCCTTTCTGAGATTCAACGAAATCTTACATTTTCCGGAAGGAAATTTGAAAATTCAGTCGATCTTAAGAAAAGCATGACAAAGAAAGTCTCACACAATATTTCCAGAGAGCTGGTTTACTAGAAAGAACATTTAGAGAAGTGTCCAAATAGTTTCATTTTTACAAAATTTTTGATTTACACTTATCGTCATTTGTGTATGATGAAAAGACACTAATGTTTTTATTGGGCTTATTTTTTCACTAAGGTGTGATAAATTGTTAGAATAACTAACAGATGTAGAAAATCGTTTTCAACGGTGTACAAAACATTAACTCGGGAGACATTAGAAACAGACTGAATTATTATTGTTCCCTTGGGTTCCTAGGGGAACATAGGGCTTCAACTGCACGTCTCCATTTGCTTCTGTCTTGCTTCTGCTGTACTTTTCACCTGCATCCATGTTAGTCCATACTGTTTCAGCTCCTCTTCGCACGATCTCCTTCATGTCACCCTTGCATTGACGTCCCATTCGCCGCTTCCCTTTCGGCCTGGTTCCACTCGAGCAATGGCCTGACGCGCGCGCCATGTCACCCAGCGGCCTCCTCAGCAAATGTCCAATGCATCTCCACTTTCTTCTGCATATTTGTTGGTTGGTGATTGGTTCTTGTTTTGTTTGTTCCCAGCCATAGTTTCTTGTTGGTGATTCTTTCCGGCCCGGCCATCTGATCTTTAGTATAGATCCAGCGAAGACAGTTGTTGATAAAGGTCTGCAGCCTGTTAGAAATATTCTTTGTGACCCGCCAAAACACGTGACACTAGTTACCACATAGTATCCACTCAAAGTATCCATTACAGTCCTAGAGGCTGTCAACTGCGAGCCCGAATATTTTAGTGACAGTGTCTCTGACTACACCACTAGATGACCTGGGTTCGAATCTCAGGAGGGACATTGTTTCTTCAGGATTTCAGACTGAATACCTAACTACAATCAGAATGAACAAGTTATGTACCTAAAAGACTGAATATAAAAAATACGAATCTGTGATGATGTCTGAAATTCCCCTATCTGTTTTGTTTCCATATTACGCCGAAAAATAAAATTATCCAGTATGACCTATCGCGTAGTATTGATTCTAAGAACTACATAAAGAAAGAATGCGAGTCATTTTCATCAATTCTTCACAAGAAAAGATCGAAGTCTGGCTGATCCTTAATTATCACAGATATATTAGTCGACCATTGTACAGGTATCTAGTTTACAACTAACACTAACTTTTAATTTTCTTCAACTTTGGTCATTATATCGATATAAGTTGAATCACTGAGACTGCACAAATTTAAAATATGTTGATACATTAAGGGCAGTAACATATGATCTATTTTAAATATTCTATATGTTCAATAATGAGTCAACAAAGCAGTTGTAGTATGTAAGAAATATGCGGAGATTTAAAATGTTTTTCTTTAGACAACTTACCAAGAATACAATAGAATCTATGCTATGTAAAGCGTTGAATTTAACAACCTAATTCTTTTAGTTTGCGCATATTTCCTTCCCAGAATTCTGTAAAGTTTTCATCGATTCTTCTCATAAAATTTGAAGCTGAAGATTAGATAGAAGTAAAGGCGTCCAAACTATTGTGAAATGACTAGTACTTTATGAAAAAATGATGAAGATAGCTACCACTAGTATTTATCACAATGATAAATTATTCACAATAGTGTAACATGAGATAGCTAACATTCACTAATTAAGATAGTGGTGGCCTGCTTAAAAACTTGGCTGGCAAAACCTCCCATGGTTATACTGCATCTTATTTCTCGTGTTCACCATGTTTTAATCTATAAAAATATGACCTTTAATGGTATTGTTTACTCTAACGAGTATTTAAAATGTTTCGCAGCTTTTTGATTCGCAAGTTTCTACTAAACTTGACAAGAAGCATGATCATAGGTGGCAGTATATTCAAATTCATGAAGTGACTATTCTTGACATTTCTAGTATAAAGTACTACTCCCCAGGAAACAAAATTAATTACCTGAAGTCTTTAATTATTCATTATTGTTTGGAAGGTTTCATCATGAGCTGACATCAGTTAGAGAACCATCGGAAAACGTAGGAGTACTGGACAGCTGTCTCGTCCCAGCTTGGGACTCTTCACAGCGTGCACCCGCCGCTACAGTTTCAACCCAGGACCTTCTGGTTACAAATCGTGCTAGCTCATAGACCATTGAGTCATTGGGACCCGATCTAATGGCTAGCTAATGAATTCCAGCCTCTGCTAATTGATAACATGACCACTTCTCAATGTCTTTTTCGATGAGTTACTGCCTCACCTTCAACCTGCTGAACCCTACTGGTCACGGCTTCCCACTAGAACTCCAGGTCATGATAAAACCTTCCAACCAATCAAACACAATCCCTACAAAACTAATACTTAAAAATATTCATTATTGTCTTCAGATCGCGAAATTTACTCATGTACTCTTTTAAATTAGCTTTTCAAACAAATGTCGTGCATTTTAATGTGCACATTTTAAAAGCACTATCCGGAATAAAGGTATTATCATTATTGTTAACACATTTCGGGGTAAAAAGTGATTTGTTGGCTAAAATTAATAGTTCTATCATAGAACAATTAGTAAGTGGAAAAATATAGACCAATTATGAAGTAATGAGGATTTGTAACTCAGATGGATGAATCTGATGTACTTGTGTTCTCTGAATTTCATATTTACTGGTATATCATATATTTCCCACGTTCGATCAGTAAATTTACTGAGTGCTTATTCTAATTGAAAGAAAAGACTTAAACTAGAATGAGATTATAAATCAGCAGCCTATGGATTATCAGTTCATGATTTGATGGCCCGAATCATCACCACATTATATCAACATAGTCCTATCAAGTTATAGCTATTCAGGTAGTATGTCTACATGGAAATGCATGTCTAGAATGCCATATTGAATGAATCAAGTTAGGCTAATTAGTTTTTCTCTCTACGTCATTTGTTTCTGTTGTGCTATAAATATTGACTGAATTAGGAAAACAAACAGAAAAAGTTATACTACCAGCAGGAGTTGAGGTTTGAGTAAGTAGAAGACGTCTGAAGGCATAAAGATTAAGCTTATTAGGAGTCTATGGGCCTCGAGATTCTTAAAATATCTCCTATAAGACAATTCATTTAATCTTTGATTAATACGTTTGAAGAACTTCTAAATGAAAAGTAATTTCAACTATCTGCAAAAGTTTTTATATGAATATCAGCAAAAACTGTCATATTGTTCAAAATGAAAGAGAAGAACAACACTCATTTATATCAGCGGGATAAACAGCATTCCAACTCAACAACAACTCTGAAAAACACTACCCCTTTCAAGATTCGAAGTAATAATGTGGTGGTGTGATGCAATGTCTTCCAAAGGAACATTATTCTCACAGTAAGAATCATTCTATTTGTCAATGTTAACGTCTGAATACTGTTCCCACGGTTCAGTACTGCATTAGCAACAGAACGCTATATGTATATCTGAACATTCTGAGGTGGTTGTGTTCTCTGAGCTGGATAGTTAATTTGCGAAGCTTTCATCGCCCTACTAGGCGACATCTTCAGCGAGTACTTCATATTGAAGCTTCGCAAATTAACTATCCAGCTCAGAGAACACAACCACCTCAAAATCATCCACATGAGATACAAATCTTCTCTATCATATCTAAATATTTGAACATTCTATTTCATCTTGTTTAATGTAAGCCGAAATCGCACACTCAGTTATTGGTTAAAGAATATAAACTATATGTACATAAATAGCGGTTCGATCAATGGAAAATATACCTTAGATGTCGTGTCTTGCCTTCTGGCGTTACAAGAAAACTCAGTTTTACAGTGAGAAAAGTTGTTATTCTAGTAAATATTAATTATCATTGTAACGTTGATAGCGTGTTAAAACTTAGCGTTTCAAAATTTCAACCTGATAAGTTATCCCTGTGTGATGAAATCACTACACCTCTTTAGATAATGATGCAGGCCTATAACAAGCAAAGTCAGCTATGCGATATCAAATGAAATTTATAGCAGTTGAATCCTGTAAAACTATGCTAAGATTAAGTTTCTTAAATAAAAATCACAGCACTTTTCACCTTACATCTAGGATGTTGTGCACAAGTAATACTATCGAAACTCTCGTTATTATCATTGACAATTTTCTATGTATACTTCACATACTGAAGTATTAGTGTAGTGCTCTGGAACTTTTGACTGACTGACTGACTGTGTGAAAACTGACTTTGTTTCTAACTAAGTCGGATGGGTTAGTAGTCGGTTGTGATAACGAGCTCTAGAAACGGAAGAGGTTGAAAACTTCGAAATTTGTGTTTTATTTTAGAAATATTACGTTTTGTTATTTGATCTCCGACTAATTACGACACTAGGGTGTTTAAAAACTGAGATTTCACTTGAACTTATGTGTGATTACATTCATCCTGTCGCATTTAAGCAGTCCTAATCAATGCCATAATCTTTTAGCTCAATTATGTTCTTTGAAAATCTGAAGAACAACTTGTATTGAAGATGTACTGTAATTAATGGTTTACAGTCCCATTAACAAATATTAGAATTAGTTATTTTACAAATAGTGAAACAATTGTAGATTAGGTTTATAAAACATGGAAATATTTTTATTATTAATTGAAAGTTAACCAAATAGATGAAACAAGTCTTACCTAAATCTCTAAACATAGCTCCTTGTGGAGAACAGAATGACATAGCTGGTACCGGATCAAAAACATTTTGCTTGACCATATCACGATATTGTTGAACAGCTTGATGTGGAAACAAATAAAGGCTAAAATTATTATTTTTAAAACAAGTATTTATAAGGAAAATCTCTATTTAAATTTATACGATGATCACTTTCTAGATATTCCGCAAATAAAGAATGCGGAATTTAAATGTACTGGGTTGCAAATGTTCAGGATTTTTACGCTACTCTATTGAACATTGAACATAAAACTGTGTAAAACTTAGAAGACTTTATCCTGCTTACCTGGTAATACTGGTCTGGTTCGCTGGTAAGTAGTGTTTTATCCACTACTTATTTGGTCTACCATTAATTCTATCACAACAAAATAGTAGCTGAAATTTCTCGGTTCTTTTGCACAATATGCTTATTCACTAAACTTTAATCTAACACGAAAAGAGTGGATATCCAAAGTTGACATTAAACTAATTTCAAAATATAATTGACCATTTTGAGCATTATTCTGTTTCTTAAAATACTATGAAATCCTAAGCTCATTTCAATCACATTTTGTTCCAGTAAAGTGGAAAAGTTGACTGTAGTATGTTGTATGAGTGGAAAAATCTTATACTTTCTTGACTTACCCATGACTATGATAATCATCAATGAGATAAAATGAAACAATTCAAATTTGTTTTACTGAAACGATACAATAAATCGCTCACAATGATATTAGGCTAGTAGTATTAATTTTAACACCCATTTCTAATTGATTAACGTCTACTCGTTAACTTAATCAAGTTGAAATAAGCTTTTTAAAGCTTTTGAAAAAGGAGATTTAATAAAAAGAGAAGGAAATAGGAATATAAATGTCCAGATAAATTTTAAATGACTGTTATGATCCTAACGTTAAGTTTAGGCAGGAAAATAATCCAGTAAAATATTGTGAATCAATGTGTACCATATCATATTAACAAGCTGTAATTTAAGTATTTCAGTAGCCAATTAAAAATTCTTCTTTAAGCGAACAAAGTAGTGATGATATGTAATTATTCAAAGAGGCAGAAAAGTGACTGCACACTGCTGGTTTCAGATATTTAAAATTTGTTAGATACTATTTATCTTCCAGTAATAACGTAGAAAATGTTTGTCAAAGCTTTGGATACAAATTTATGTATATTTCGATAACCTATTAATAAACTGTCGTAACTGACTCAAGGACAAGACATCAATACTATTCAGAGATCGACATTTAACAACTCAATCACAAAATACACAAAATCAACATATGGGAGCCAAAAAAAGTTATTATCATCTTTAAATATCAGGGATCGAATGCTAAAAATTATCCATCCAGCTGACAGCAGAAAAATAGCCTAAGGACTGAATATTAATCATACTGTGAGAAAATACATGCGATTTATTCGTCTCTATGGTGAACCTTCATACCTAAAAACAGACACGCAAGTTTTCGAAGATGCTAAACATTACTTGGAAATTTCACCAAGGAAAACAAATTGGGGATAGGGGAGATGTGATGGCTTTTAATTGTTTAGATTGATATCTGACATCGCAATCAGTAAATCAAATAAATTAACTTGATGGCTAATTAGTTTCTCACTTAATATTTAAAGCTATGCAAAAATCAATGAATTTTATTAGTTATTCTTATGAATTTGCTTTTCATCCTATTTTACTGTCATAAAATTATTCACGATTGTCAAGTTTTTTCTTATTACCTCCTGAGTTTTGAGTAAAACATAGGACTTCAAACTCTGAAGTTTCAATAAGATGAGGCTGCTAGCCACATTTCAAAATGCTGGGAATCGAACCCAGACCTTACACATATCTGGCGAGAATTCTACTACTGAAGAACCGACTCTGTTACTTCTAGGTACAAATAGCTACGCTTTTAGCACCCATTACTCTGTTATTTGTCTCACACTTCTGTCTGAGCTTCAAGTATCATTTCAGCATCAAATAACAGTTGGGATTTACGTGACCCAGAATCGCATGCTCTACTTAAAATAGATATGAAAAGCAATCTAGAATTTCAAAAAGTAGAATGATTCACAGGGATGATAGCGTTCTGTTTTCTGAATGTTGATAGGCTACTTAAATGCACAAGATTATGAATATATGAGATTTAGCATACGATTATTGGGATATGTTTCAGTAGCTTGAACATGCCGCATACTTTTGCAATTATTAGTGTTTTCTGAGCTGGTTGGTTTAGTTGCGGAGCTTTCGTCGTCCACCTTCTGGACAAAATCTTCAGCGCAGTATTTAGGATAAAGTGAAATGATTTAAATTACTTCATGAGGGATATAATTGCGTCTCCCGGTAACCATCTTTACAAATGTATTGACCGTTTTCCATTGACTTGGATTTTAAACTTTCTGGTCACCTGATTTACTTTTTATTAGTTGGTATATTTCATCTATATTAACGTGTTTATTAATTGCATTTTCGTTTGGGTACCAGGCTTCTAGGAATTCCCTGGCACATTTGGTGTTTCCTCTGTTTAAGATTTTGAGATTATCCCAATCAAATTGATGTCCATAATCGTCTGCATGCATTGATACTAAGGAATTTATATCATGTCTTTTCACGGCTGATTTGTGTTCTTGGATTCTTATTCGAAGGGGACGCAATGGTATGGGCAGTCGACAAATGGAGACCTTATTTACTCGGCCGGCGGTTCCACATCGAAACTGATCATAAGCCGCTACAATTTTTGAAGACAGCGAGAGACCCACGGGGGAAGTTGTCACGGTGGATGTTGCGTCTTCAGGAGTACGATTTTACGATCTCACACGTTCCTGGAAGTGAAAATGTCTTGGCAGATTTGTTATCGAGACCAGAAGATGAGTCTGAGTTGCCCGAGGTCGCTTACGGAGTGCATGCAGTAGAACAAGACCCACTAAGACTTGCACGTAGGCAGAGGTTGGACGATACGCTGAATACAGTAATACAGGTGATCACCAACGGAATAGAAGTGGATCAAACTACGGCGAGTAAGGAGCTAACCACACTACTCAGACAGAGGGATCGACTCAGAGTGAATGCCTACGGGACTCTGACCTGGCGAGAGAACGACGGAAGCTGGCTGGCTGTCATACCTCAATCGTCGCGCCACGACATGATAGAAGAATGTCACCAGCTAGCGCATACAGGCGTGGCCAGAACGACCGACCTCCTAAGACAAAGTATGTACTGGCCAGGTATGAGAGAAGACGTAGCAAGATACGTACTTGGATGTCCACGGTGCCAGCTGATGAAAGGTGACCGGTGTATACGACCACCACTTCAGTCGATTCCAGTTACCGCGATAGGTGACTTGTGGTCCGTAGATGTCATGGGTCCATTTCCTCAGACATCCAATGGTAATCAGTACCTCTTGGCAATGATGGAACACGCGACACGATGGGTAGACGCCGTAGCAATCCCAGACCAACGTGCAAGAACCGTGACAGATGCAGTAGTTAGACACATTGTTGCAGACCACGGCGTACCGAAGACAATACTGACAGACCAAGGTCCCTGTTTCGAGAGTGAAGAGTTTACTTCCCGTTTGCAACAGCTGGGCATCAAGAGGATCAGAACGACCCCATACCATCCACAAACGAATGGCCTAACGGAGAGAAACAACCGTACACTGAAGGAGTGGCTGGCCTCGAAGGGCGGGAACTGGGAAACGGAGCTTCCACTGATTTTACTAACACATCGTGCTACCACTCAGGAAACAACGAAGAAGTCACCCTTTCAACTGATGTATGGTAGAAAACCACGATTACCGATACACAACGAGACCTGGCCCCTTCACCAAAAGTGGAGTACGACGAAATTAAAAGCAGAGCGGAAAGAAGCAGTCAAGAATGTAATACAGAAGCAGCGGAGTGATGTCGCGAAGTCTCAGCTGAAAGGAAGGACTCAGTGCATTACCTTTGCAGTCGGGGACCAAGTGAAGTGTAGAGACAGAAGATATACAGTTGGATGCGGGCCAGGTTCACGGAAACTCCTTCCAAAGTGGGAAGGACCATACACAATCACAAAAAGACGGGGTCAAGTATATACCATCCGAAGAGGTGACAAACAGAAACGAGTTAACGCCAGTCAGCTCCAACGATGGGTACAGTGGGACAAGCCGGTCAGTAACAATCCTCAACTAGAGGATGTAGCACCCAGAAGGTCGGAACGTCTGCGCACGAAGCTATTTGACGGGGGGACGAGTGTGGTGAGAGCAGGCTGCTAGCCAATTGGTAGACATTAATCTACGTCAATGTCTAGGTCACTAATATTGGCCGTGAGAAAATATGAACAAGGCTGATTCAACAACCAATCACAGCAAACTTAACGTGGGCAAATATGATTCGCAGATAGATGGTACAGAAAATACACCAGAAAAATGGTAACGTTCTGCAGTTTTCTGAATGACTGACGTAGGTATAACTATATTGCTTAACCTGACGACTAGACTAGTCGCCTATATCACAAGTGGCTTTTGGTATAAGACATTCTAAGAAGCCATTCAAATATATGATATTCTAAGTAAACTAGAATTTGAACCCAGACATTTTGATATATCTGATTAGCCCAGAAATATGTCTTACACCGTCAGCCTATATGGCTTACGAAATTCCATCGCATAGTATTAACATAAATGGCATAATAAACAAAGTCGCAAGGGTGGTTATACACCCTTCCTACTGTTGTATTATTTTCGTTTCAATAAATAAAAAAATCAATAGTACTGCTTATTTCCTGGTCAAGCAATGCGACAATTAACTGTTTTACTGAAACTGACTGCCTTAATTTTATAATGGTGGATAGAGCACATTATGTTCTTTTATGCCTGAAGTCTTTGAATTGAACTAGAGGCATTAATCCTGCCGTTGAAATCATAGATTCAACTCTAAGATTCTCCGATTTTCGGGAAAGGTTTAGGCTAATCACTGACTAATAAAGAACAATGTTGAGAAATGTTTCTCAAAAAGGAGTAGACTACTAATATGAATAATTTTATTCCAAAACCCATATTTCATTGATAGAATTATACGAACACTTAACACTTAAATACTATTTGGTTTGCATATTAACCCAAGGGTTTAAGTATGCTTTTTTCCCTGGACTTACTTGTAAATATATCACACTTGTGTTCTGTATGTTTTAAAGTCATGGTCACAGGAATCAATTTAGTCACCATAGTCATCTGTTTTTCAATGCTGATGAAATGACTATGTAACTTATCACTGCAGCTGTATTAAAAGTTGTGTTATTCTCAAACTGACTGAATCTTTGTCAATTTATAATTTTTGTGCAAATGAATAATGACTCATAAGTCGATAAATGTGCAGTGTATCAAAGGTGTATCAAAGGCGGTTATTATACTAACGAACTGTGTTAAATTACTAGCGGAAGTTCTGATACGTCAAAGCTGTCAAAATGTCTACATTCTGTACTGATGAGGCAAGCTGCAGATTAGTGAAACTATAGTGTTGTCTTCAATGCTGTGATATGGTTATTACCGTTACCTATTGACTGATGATAGTGATTTGAAAATGAGTGTTGATCAAAAGCATATTTTCTAACCTCAAATATGTCTAGCTGAATTTCCCACACTGTCTTAATTACTCAGTTTAACTATTAGAAGTTAGTATACGTGGTTATAGATACAAATAAGATTTCAACCTGTTTGCAAGGCTTGTCTATATAAAATAAGTTTGAAAACGTTTAAGATGAACTCACACATAAAAAACTGATATAAACAAAATGCTGTTAGACTATTCAAAAATATTAGATAAATTTATCCTAATTCTGGTCCACTTATCATTCCGTATCTTTGATTAACATAGCAACATGTCATTTACTTTCAGTCAAAATTAAGGCTTACCTAAATTGATATGAGACAATGTAGTTGAGATATTTGGTAACTGTACTGCTTGATGAACTGTACTCTTCCTACTTTTAATTTTAAAATGCTAAAGGAGAAACTAAAAGTACACTTTATGTATGCATTCTCACGACTGTAGTATGAGACTTGTAGATAAGTTACTCAAATGAAAAAGGATGATCAATAGTGAACAGGTATTTGGACACATTCATTCTAATGTTGTTGAACAGCTTATCAACATGTCATCTGGTTTTCAGTCGTTAATGTTCCAAGTGAATAATTTAGCACAGCTAACTCACCCTATGAAACCAAATGAAAACAGGATGATGGGTTAGACACTCATATCTATGATAGACCGACACATTTTAGTAAATACCTGGGCAATAATTCATCCTACCAATAATCAGTAAAGGTAGGCTAAGCACGTTTATATAGTCAAGTCAGAAGATTTAAATAATTAAATCAAGCAAGTAAAGATGAACATTAGTAGTGAATAACTGCTCACGAGATTATTTTATTCAAATATGTATGAAGAACCCTAGAGAAATTAAGAGTAGTAATGTAAATAATGAAAGTAATATTTATAAGGGATTCAAAGCCTTAAACAGTACTGCCAATTAAATAAGGAATACCAGAAGTCGTACTTAGTATTCTCAATGAGGCTGGAATTACGGTGGCAGTTAAACCAACCAACTCAGAAATAAACTCAGCTTAAGGACCACATACATGAAATTTAGAAAAATGATATATTTAACAAATATCATGCAATTAATGACTATGAGGTCAATTACATATGTCAAACTAGTAGGTCAGCGTTAATTAGATTATTGAAACATAGGGATTTAACTAGAGCCAGAATGATTGGCCCTGCTACGCGGAATAACGTTGAAGAATTGCAACCACTGCACGTAGTCAAACAATGGGGTGGAACAGGATGAAAATAGTAAAAATAAATATAGTTGAGTGGAGAAAGAGGCTAATCAACGATTCTTTGTCCACTGAATCATCACCAAACACAAGCGATAGCCATGACGCAACGTCTGTGGCGGATATATAGAAAATTACAATGAGTAAAAAGCAGGGGAGAAAAAGTGTAGACAGCAAACTACGAAGCTGTTTGAATACATTGATATGATTGTGAAGAATAAATTATGCTCAAAACGTCACCCAGTTATCAATACTGTATCACTGTATGTTATATAAAATAAAATTATACTTAAGAAACATCACATTACTTCATAACAGACCGTGTCAAAAAATGATGAACTAGCTTACCATCCTCTTTGTTCTGATCATCATTGTCATCACCAGCCTCTGCGTTCTCGCTACTGTTATCTGTTGGCAAGATTTCTTCAGCACTTGAACTTAAATTAGCTTTATCATTGTTGCTACCAGTAACTTGGCTAACTCTGGAAGTCCTATTTGCTGGGTTTAGTTTAATCAGTCTACTGCGTTCAAATGGTTTATTTTTAGACTTAAACTGAGCTGCTTCATCAGGTTGATTATTTACTGCCTGTAGATCAGGTTCACTTGGTGATTCTTTCATAATTTCTTTTGGATTGTCTAGATTGAATGTTATGTCTTGCTTCATTTTCTGTTCATTCTTGACATCGTTTATTTTCGTTTCAACTAGACGACGTGCAGCTTGATTTAAGATTTCAGTTGTATTTTGATTATTCACAAAAGCTGTATCACCATTGTCCTTTTTTCCATCCTCAGCTATCAGAGAGGCAGGATTTGAAGGCTGTTTAGATTGGCGTCTTTTATTTTCATTTTTACTGGAATCAACCTTTTCTTTACTTGAACGTCTACTTCCGCCTCGACTAGATCTTTGTTTTTCTTTTATTGGGCGTACATCCTCATCCATTTCTAGTTCTTCTATATCGTCTTTTGGGGATCCTGGTTCGGAACCTTCAGTAGTTCCACTTTTATCGGAAAGATCAATTGATAATTTAACCGATCCATCTGAATCTTCCGAAGGAGTATCCTCTTCTCTGAGCAAATCTTCTTTTAAAACATCAGCAAAACTGCGACCATTACTACCATCAGTTGTATCTTCGACAGTGAATTCCGGTTTGCGACCAGTGACAATATATGTTTTCATTCCCCCTTACCCTATTTGATGAAAAGGATATATAAGTTAAAGAGTTGGAGACAAGAAAATTAGTCATAGTTTTATTACATAACGCATAACTAGAAGTTTTAGAGGTTAAATTATTCTGTTGTATAGTGAGAATAAATTTATGCACCAATCAGTGCAAGTTTCTCACCCGCATAGAAGGACTGACTTTATACTGGTGTTGAAAATTCGATTCTTGTTCTTTACTCTGGCTGAGTGACAGCAGAAGATTTCCAAATTGGTTTTGGGTTGATGAAGGCGTATCTTGCCTTTCCGATTCCGACTTTTAGATCTTCATTCGTTCCAGCTCTTCATGGTTGAAACGATGCTTCCAAGATTAGTGAAGGAAGTAACCTCCGTCAAATCTCTTCCACTGATGGTGACTGGTGCTGGTTGTTGTAACGGTTTGTTGGTTATCTTTATCACCTCCGTCTTCTGTGTGTTCACTCGGAGTCCTGTCTTCGCTGCTTCTTCAGCCAGCTTGTTAGTTTTCGCCTACAATGCTTCGAATTTGTTTGACATTAGACAGATGTCATTAGCGAAATCCAGATCTTCTAGAGTCTTCCTATCGATGGTCCAGCGTATTCCTGTCTCCTAGCTCCCATCCACAGTCTGACGCATAATCCAGTCCACCACAATTAAGAATATCATCGGTGATAGTAGGCAGTATAATCTCACTCCTGTATTCACTTCAACAGAAGACTTCGCTGAGTTTCCCGTTGTGAATCAGCTGGCACGTGGCACTATCATATAGCTGTTGATAGAGGTTGATAAAGACTTGAGGTACACCGTAGTGTTGAAGTTGTTTATTCTCAGATATTGCTAGTTGCTAATACTTGTTTTGTCATCTTTTAGCGAGTGACTTATGATGATGGAGTTTCAATCAACTTCAGAATAAAACTACCATACTAGGCATATAACCAAGTAATGTCATGGTAACTGCATGTATGCCAGCTGTCCATATAGTGTTATTAAATAAGATAAAACTTGGAAGTAATCATCTCATTAAAGCGGAGTGCTTTAGAAATGTACTGGTCATTAATTACATATTTTAAATATGATATTTCACTTTACGAAGTTCGTTACAATAGTATACACCATACCACAGCTACAAATTGGTCTCAGTTTCATCGTCCAAATATTATGGTGAAGAATTATGAAAGCTTCCTCAAAGTCTATATGGTACTCAGAATTTGTTTTCATTTAGGCAAGTATACAAAATGCTGAAGTGTGTAAAGCAATCTAAGCTGGGATAGAACTATAGTGATAAAGATTATAAAAGACATCACAGGGTGTACAATCCATTAATGAATGCAATGAAAATACATACCTTTATAGTAATTTCACCTCGACATTCCACTATGTATGGATAGGGGGATAGAGATTGAGCACACGAGTCACTTACATGTATTTTGTCGGGCTATTAACAGTGAGAAAAGAATAAACACAGAAGCAGACTACAAAGTAAACTTTGAACTATTAAATAAATGACAAATGTTTCTAAACTTAGTATATGTGAATAATTGACAACGCTTTCAATGAAAAGGAATTATTTAAAGTCTTCTGAGTAGTTGTACTTAGAATTTCACAATTTAAAAAATAAAATTCATTCATTTGAATTCAAAAGTAAGACAGCAAACTTTTCTTTCCCTTGTTGATACGTAATTAAAAAGGGGAAAACCAAGTTAATGTGTACCGATACAATCCAAACACTTCAAAAAGACCAGTACACTACTCTCCAGCCAAAAAGGCATCTCTGTTGAAGCAGAGACAGTGGAAGATATGAATGTGAATCGTTTATTTCCATGTTCCAATTATCAAGGGTCAGATTTTACGATTTTCAATTTTTTTTACAGGAGTTTATTCTGAACTCGTATTCAGTCAATGATATGGAGAATCTCAAAATCTAGCCCTACCAACGTTTCAGCGATGGGACCACACTTTTTCTTCTCGATACCGACGGGTTGACTTATTATCATTCTGTCCCACACAAAGAATAAACCAGATAAATTAGCAAACTAGAAACTGTGTCATTGCTGTATCTGACATATGAGTTTTCAGCCTTCGGCATAGTTTACTCCATTTGACGAATCGAAGCCAAACGTGGTGTGGGCACGATACCCGGTCTACACACTCCTAAATGTCACCTACTCGGTAGGAAGCCCGATGAAGAGCAAAAACTGGGCGTGAGATAGCAACCATATCTCGTAGGAACAGCACCGCTACTGAAATTTCAAAGCAGAAGCTAGGAGCTCTAACCCTCATTAAAAAGGAATGGAAAAAATAGTGGAAATGCTAGTGAGAGGAATTGAAATCGTGTCCTTGATCTTCAATATGGCAAAAGTAACTATATGACTGATGTATTTATGATTAGATAATTTGCGCCGAAAAACATCCGTAGAAAACTTTAAGCTAATTAAACATCCATTTCACACTTTTTGTAAAAAAGTTAATTTTAGAGTAATTTTATATATCCACACGTCCTTGTTTAACTAAAATGATTAGTAGTTGACTGAATAACCTAATAACTATTGATAATTTTGTGATAATGAGTGAATATATCGTAAATAAATTAAAAGAAAACTGTAACCTACATTTATCACGATTGTAAGTGACGTAGGAAAACGTAATATTGAATTTCAGTTCACCACTAATTTATGTTAACTTATTACAGTAGGCTAAATTCGAAAAAAAACTTTTAAACAATTACACACAAACATTTTTCATAACTTCTTCAGCTTTACTAGCAGGTTTTGTACCCGGTAAATGAGATAGGTTGATCATGTAGCTAGCATGCAAACAGGGAAAAAAACATCTTCACTGAAACTAAAATTTCAGAAAAACTTTTTTATCGTCCATCTCAGTCGGGAAGATTAATAACACCAGCGCGTGGAAGTGCCAAGTTAAACTTTAAGCACCACTAACTACCAATGGCGTGCGACCGCACCAATGACCTTGAAGCGCTCACTGAGCAAGTTTGTGAAATCCGGCAAATTATGTTGTCATCATCAATAAAATATGCTCATCGAAGTGTTATGTTATTAAATGGGATATTTAGCAAGTTTCAGCTTAGGTTCACGAAAGATGAAGTTACTCTTTAAGCCAAGGACAAGTTAGGGTTAGGTTAACCTAACAAAGGCGACAATAGGTTTGGTTCGAGTTAGATTACAGTTAGTTTAGGGATATTTTCACGTCAGGGTTAAGTTCAGGAAAGATTAGGGTTATTGCTAGGTTTAGAAGACCTGAATAATTACGTGCATAGAATGTAGTCAAATTACTGTTGATATAATTATTAAGAATAGAACGAGTGAACTGTGGTAGAGTATAATTCCACTGTGTGTAAAATTTATTTTGATAAAGTCTAACAGTGTTATACAATAGTAATATTTAGTTATGACTTTTTGAACACATTCTATTGCTCAGTAAATATTAATGTATAACACCATGAAACTTTATCGAAATAAATTTTACCCACAATGGAATTCTACTCTGTTGATACTCCAACCTAAAACTGAGAACTATTTTTATCATATGTGAGATGAAGCTATCCTCAGTAACACGTTTATGCAATTTTTATGGAATTTTTCAGAAATATATGTATTCCATACTTAAAATGCCTCCTTCACGTGACTGGTGCGTTTGAGGTCATTTACTGATTGGTAGTTAGTGGTGCTTAAAGTTTAACTTTGCCGGTGGAAGCCTTCGGAAAGCCAGCAGACCGATGTATCTTCTTCCCATGAAAGCAAAAGTAAGCATAGAGACATATCCACGTGACATTTGAGGCTGACTGATAAGGCTGCTCAGATCGCACAAGAAATAAAAATATATGGTATAGAAATCTGTGAGAGCAAAAGGAATGAAACAGGACTCTCCTAACAGTTAACGCGACAGTCAATAACATACTCCGGTAACCTAGACGACAACCACTAGCACACTGAGGATGTCATCAACAGCTTCAAAGACTGACATGTAGTGAGGATCAATCTCTACTAGAATCAGAACAACGAATTTAACCTCAAAATATAGGGTAGTTACAATAATACGAACAACGCAGACTAAATGGAGAACAAGAAGGACTTCTACAATAATGGACAAGATACCGGTAAGAATGCAAAACCAGAATTCTAATATGTAATACAAATACCATTCAAACTGAGAACAGGCAACACAGGAATGGCATTTATCATAGGTTCAGAGGTGCTCACTCAGCGAAGTAGGTGAGTTTGGAGAACTCTTCCCAGACTTCTAATTTGGTGACTGGGAGGAGTGTGTAACAGCTCAAAGATGTATAAATGGCGACATCGGATTCCCCTGATAGATTAACTAAAAGTCACACAAACTTCAGGTCTATTTCAGAAAAGTGGAGAGTCGGCTTACTGGAGAATAGAAGGACATGTAGGTTAGGAGTACTATTCAGTGAAAGAAAGCCTCAAGATAAGGTCAAAAGCCTTCAAAGAAGTTACAGATACACCACAATCCACGTTGAACACTGAGAAACTGAAAGACGACACTACAGAGGATACCGTCAACGCAGGCATCAGGAGGGTTATTGTAGATTCTGGGTAACATCATAGAATAAGGCTGCATGTAGGAACATTAAAACTCTCTAAAAGTGATGTGGGAGGAACTCTTATGGGCATCCTCGAAAAGAAAAGAGGTAGAACAAAAAATGGCTCTCTACAGAAACCTGGGAACCGATAAGAGAGAGGAGGATGTTGAAGCTGAAGATGAATCGGCCCAGAGATGAACAACAAAAGGAAAAGCTAAGTGTAATCTACGGTGCAACTAAAAAAGGAGATAAAAAGAGTGTTAAGAATGACAAATGACGCCTTTACAACACACTGATAAATGAATCAAAACAGGCGACAGGTAAGAAATACCTCAGAGGACTATGTATTATAATCAAGCCGTTATCCGGGTAAAGATCAACACAGAAGTAAGTAAAATATAGTGAAGTAAAGCCAGTTACTGATGAGTTAGAACAGAAAAATTGTTCAGCTCATCACTCTAAAGGAGTCCTGAGTCTTTCCAAGGTCTTCGGCTAACATGCTTACACTAGACAGGAGTTCATTACTCTGAAATCAGTGTGCAGATCAACAGCACCTAGCACAAAGAACATCCTAATTTCAAACACTAGTGTCACTGTGCCTCTGTATGATTCAGAGAATTGGCATGAATGTCACTAACAGCATTCCCTTCAGCCTGACACAGGGAATACAACGGGTTGTGAGTGGGTACTAGTGTGACATGTAGGAGATCGTGTAAAGGGGGATGGAAGCTGGTTGGAAGACTTGGAGCCAACTAAAAATGAGAGTAGAGAACTAAGTGGTATGGAGACGTGCTGTTGAATGCGTATGTTTTTATTTTTTTGATTACAGCTTGATTCCAGATCGTACAGTTTTGGTACAGGTATGGAATTTTCAGCATGGATATCGGTAGCCCAAATTTTGTAGGCCGACCATAGATATCAGATGTGCGTCGGCAGGGGATCGGACCCCGGACCATGTGCATGGTCGGCGAGAGTTCTAACCACTGTGCCACCGACGAAGCTTAGTGACTAATGCTTTTGGTGTAAAAATGCCCGTTACTAGAAGTACTACAATAAAATTTTGAAAAAAATAAATATATTTGAAAATTTAAAGATCTAACATAGTTAACTTACCACTCCATGACTCATCATCCGACTTGAAGTATTCACTGTATCACCAAATAAACAATATCTTGGTGTTTTATAACCGACTACACCAGCAACAACTGGCCCAGTATGACATCCAACATAAAGGTGTAAATTCTCATCTGTATAGAGTGTTTTAGTTTTTGGACCAGGTGGAGTATTTTCAATTGTAACTGGCCAATACAGATTGGCTAATGTCGCTTCTATAATATCTAGTGCTGTATCAATAATATGCGCTGCATGTAATGGTGTACGACTGGGTACCCCGGAAACCAACATATAACTGTCACTAATTGTTTCAACCTTTCAAATAGAAAATAAACAGAAGTTGATTATTCTTTGTCTTAATTAATTTCGAGGTTTGCGCAAAATTTACACATTTCTGGTTTTAATTCTTTACATGACTTTGTAGTTATCATGAAAAAGTAAGCAAGTGAGTGCATACTTAAAACACTTCAACGTCTCTATTCTTTTTGAAGCCTCCTAAAATTTTTCAGAAATTCAGAGAGGCAAAATATTGCTAGTAGACATTGCTTCTTAAATAGACAACCTAAATAACTGTAATGTGCTTATTAGACAGTAGTTGTTCAATCCTTCTTTCATTTTCAGTGATTCTCCAATAGACAAACGTGGTTAACAGTTTAAACGTACCTTAGATAAATGGAGTATGAGATTCAACAATTCTGTTATAAAAATTTAAAATATTTCTCATTGTGGCAAATTAAAATGTCAAGATTCCATTATAGGGGAAATTCATCTGATAGAAGTACACAGTGATACGGTATTATTTACTGATCACCTTTGCAGTAAAATTTATCGCTCATTATTATACCAAGACATTCACAAAACTTCCAAACTTCATTTAGACAATTCAATTCATTATTTTTTATCCTTTGATTTTATTGGCAGTAATGTTTCCCATATCTCCGGTACTGGCATAGTGTCATTCTTATTGTGTGCGTTTGGTGTAGATTCGATGAAAAGTGAGTGATTCAGTAATTATCGTCTCCTTCCATCTGTAGCTCAGTCCCATCCTATTGTGTGATTCTGTGTCAGTGCATGCATTCTTGAGTTTTGCTCTAAACTGTTCTTCTACCTGTCGTCAATCATTCTACACTTAGCTAAATTTACATGTGTCAATAATCTGACTACCTCCGATCTACCTATCTCACCTATGTATTTGATATCACAGTCACTGCAACGTATTTTGTAGATCACATTATTTTGTTTAATTGGGTCAATAGGGTCGTTTAGTTTACAGAGAATGTCGCTGAGTGAGTTTGTAGGTTTAAATCCCATCCTATGTAAGATTTCAGAGATCCCTTCCTTATACTGTAAAACTAGGTGCCTTAAATTGCTTATCCTATGGCCGATGGTTCCTCTATTATTTTACCTTTTCTGGTGAGCTTTTGTGATCTTCTTAATGAATTTTATGGGATAGTTACTCATCAGTAATACTTTTCTATTTGTTTCATTTGATTATTTAGGTTTTATGAAGTAATACTTGGAACTATTGCTCACTTTGTCACACACTTAACTAATCCTACCTTTACAGATAACGGATGAAATGATTTGAAGCCTAATTACTTATTAAAGTGTGTTGGATTTTTATAAACCCTGGTGCATAGTTTACCTTCTGTCAGTTTTATTTGATGATCTAATACAGCTTATTCTTTTTGTTCATTTTTGACTCAAATGTAAATTTTATTCTATTTTCCATTAATATCAATATCAGAGGGGAAAAAATTAAGTTTATATTAAAATAAGACTATTATGTACATGTCTAGACAATACCCCATCGGTACAGCTATTGTACATGTGACCACAAAAGTAACTGAATTAATGTATACACATGGATGTTGCTAAAACTGGGAAGTTCTTCGAAATTTCGATGAATGAGAGGTAACGTGGAGCTGAAACATAGACATGCGGCGAAGAATACTTTTCAAAATGATTTCAATAAGAAAGAATATCTTCAAACGAATATGTTTTCTCAATAATCTTCATCAGATTATTCCAGTTGTTGTTTCATTTTCAAATTTTAGGTTTACAACTAACTTCTTCTTTAACACTTCTGTCTTTTGCCAATTATCTATCCAACTTTTCATGTGTTTGTTATTGCATGCCTGTGGATAAGCATTTCGAGTCAGTGTATCAGAAAGACTCTCGTTCCATATTTAATGTATCTTTCGTGTATACGGGAGGAGATTTGTTTAGGCTTTTTTCTACCTATCGGAACACAATTGTAGGAATTAGTCAACTGCTCAATCCCTTTTTGCTTCTGGTAAAATGATTTCAGGATCAATCCATCAGTTCTTATCAAGAGTTGAAAATCTTAGGAGAGTCATCCTTCTAACCCACGTTTTACAATAAAACTAATTGATCGATGAATATTAGTAAATATTTGAAGAATTTTATTTGATCAACGTTTTCATAAATAATGATGAAAATATCATTCATATATCACTTGTATACTTTGAAATGATTTATAGCTGGTTGTAGAGTACTCGATTCTAGGTATGCCATGAAGCAGTTAGCAAATAATACACCAAGCGGAGACTCCATGGATACTCCACTCTTATGTCGACATATTTCATTATAAAATTCTTATTGTCTGACATTACCGTATGACTGATGTAGTTTCAACGTAAAACTATATACTAGTGTTGGTATGTTCGTAGGTTCAGTGGCAGAATGCTTGCCAGCCACATAAGGGGACTGGATTCGAATCCTGTCAGACGCACTCTTACAACCTTACCGAGTTTACTGGACGATAGCAAGTTCGGAGAAGGGGGAGATTGAGTGTGGGACTAGCAACTCCATCACGTAGGAATGACATCACTGCAACAGAAAATTCAAAGTTTGAATCCCTATGTGTCACTCCGAACTCAGGAAATGGGAATATATAAATGTATATTTAATTAGTATAGGGGCGCCGCTAAAGAACTAAGTAGTAAACAATGTGTTTTTTCGCTTAGTTTATTGTTCTGTAAGTGTATAAATGTGAAATAGAAATTGGATTCCGAGTGTACACCTTACCAAAAATGGCTCACTTGGCACTCACATTCAATACAAAACTCCATTTAAGCGAGTTAAGCTTCTCACCCATTTAAAGTTTGAGAATAGGTTGAGGATGTTTTCTCCCTGATGCCTCTAATTATTCGCTTTACCGGATAAAAGTGTTTATGTCCCAGAATGCCAGCTATCCTGAGGGAAACTTCGGAGGGAACCAGCTACTAGATGGTTCGATTAGTTTTTCGCCGCTACACTCACGTTATATGATCGATTTGCACGTCAGAATCGCCACGGTCCTCCACCAGAGTTTCCTCTGGCTTCAACCTTCGCAAACATAGTTCACCATCTTTCGGGTCTCATCATGTACGTTCTTGCTCCGCCCCGACGGTGCACATAGCACAAGGCCACATGTCTACGTCATGGAACCGGCCGGTGATGCGCCTGCTGCTCGCAGCTTGGAATTAATGAGCGAAACAACAGGATCTCACCTCAGCCTGGACAAGCCAAATCTTTACCCTCACCGTGACTTTGGGTTTTCGTAAAGCCCAATGACTCGCTCACATGTTAAACTCCTTGGTCCGTGAGTTGTGATCTTTCTTGTCTTGATTCAAAATAATGTATTCACTGAGGGATCGTTTGTATCTAGTGTACTTTTCAGAATAATACGATAAAATCTCAAGATGTTATTTTCTTCGAAGAGCATTTAATCAGTTGAGATGAGAAATTCGGAAGTGCATTTTTTAATTATTCTTATTATTATTATATACGGTTATATTCATTTTTGAAGCCTTAACCAGACAGATTAATATGGATGATTAAATAAAGATTATATTATATAAATTTTTATGCAAGTATATACTACTTATTCATAATCAAGTATTTTAAAACAGTTATATTTACCTTATAAACTTTGTGATTTTCTGTTAGAGCATCATAAAGAGAATACATTTTATTGAGTAATTCAATCACTTGTTCAACAGTTATATGCATACATTTTGCAGCGAAATTCACAACTTTAGTAAAGCATATTGTTACTTCATCAAATGTCTAACAATAGGAAATAGAGTTTTAAAGTAAAGAAAAATGTGTAATACTTGAAAGTAGACATAAACGTCTCATTAAATAAATACAAATACGAGCCAAATGAACTAATTTTGAGAAACTGCCTGGCAATTGATTGTCTTTCTGTAACTGGGCTTCTGACAGGATACACTAGTGATAGAAAATTAGAAATAAATGAATGAATTACATTAAGAACTTCTCTTTAATAGCTCGTACAGAATTCTTTTTTGGCTAATACCTTTCGTGATGCGCACGCCAGATTTCTGATATATATATATATATTTCACGTTCCCAGTGGAACATAGGGCTTCAAGCTAGTGGCTTGAAGTTTCTGTAGCAGTGTTTAATTTTACAGGATGAGGTTGCTAACCTCACGCCCAACCTTTCCTCTTTACCAGCATTATTTCTGGCTTAGCAAGTTAATGCAGTGCGTCGGCCAGGGATCGAACTCCGGACCATGTGCATGGTCGGCAAGCGTCCTAACCGCTATGCCACCGACGCGATTTCTGATATATATATATATATATATATATATATTTCAGAGTGATGAACTCCTGTGCTGCTTTCCTAATCTGAATCCGTCTGTTTTTGATATACTCATCCCTGTCGCCTGTAGTTGAAACAGTGATGCCTAGTTCAAGGAAGTTAAAGAAATAACTACCTATTCATTTCTCCCATCGAAATGGATTGTATTTTGCTTGATATACCACACAGTGCTTGTTGTCGGTTGGACATCTTCATTACTTCTGTTGTTCTGTGTTGACCTGAGGTCGTGTGTTTGTTGTTTCCTTTGACAACTTGTTGGTTTTCGTTTATATATCTCCGAGATTGTGAGACGTGATACCTAAACCATGTATTAACTTCTGATCTTTAAGTATGTCAGTTAAGCATATATCCGTCCAGGCCAGCACGGTAATAGCAGACAGTCTTACTGTACTCTTGTCTACACTTCACTCAACTGAGTGAGCTCTATATGCATTGATCTCTTCTCAGACAGTGATCTGGTCATCTGATACAATGTTTTGAGTTTTGTCTTACTTGCTGTCTGTTCTGCTTTAGTTACCAGTGTGTTGTATTAGCGATCTATGTATTTGCTAGCACTCCTCTTATCCTTGTTCATTGCGCCGTGGACTGAGCTCATCATCTTCCTTAATTGTTCATTAATATATCAGTTCATCTACTTCTTCTTCTTCTTCATCTTCCTCTTCTTTTTTCATTAGTTTCCAGGTGTCTGGGTATGTCCCTTTTTCTTGCTAAATATGTCTACATAGATTTCCTTTCACTCCGCTTTCAGAGACTTTTAGCTTTCTTCCACTCAGTTCTCTTCAATGATGTTCCTCAATGTTTCAAACTTTTTCTGATGTAAGTTGTGGAAGTGTGTTTTGTTGTTATTGTGAAATATTAAAATTAAAAGGAAGGTACTTACTTGTATAGTTTCCATTGCTGGGGTACCATTCCTAATTTTTCTGGCCACTGGTCGAGGAATGCATTGGTATAACAAATCATCAGTTACTTTTCTCATTTTTTCTAAATGAGCCATAGCTTTTTCCATTTGTTTACTTTTTTGGCGTTGCTAAAATTAAAAAAAAAAAAACACAAACGAATAAAATATATAGTCGTCATCAAGGGAACTGAAAAACATTTAAAACTAGTAAGTGAGGTTGACGGTATAAAACATGCTGCTAAGTCATTCAAAAGACACAGCATTATGAGGGAAATGGTATTTCGACACATTTATTGTAATGCATTTCAATAACCAGCAAAATATTGCTTGTCTTCAGTCGTAAATGAGTAGTGTTTTCCATGCTACCACTTGCTTAGTCAACGTATATGACCGATCTAAAATTATAACCAGGAAATTTTAATCTACTGAAGTGCTGAGATGTGTTTAATTGTTTCGTAGATTTTTTCATATAACTGAGAATATGTGAAATCCACACTTTTTCCTGAAGCCCTCTTCATATTACAATGTGTTAATAGTAGGCGCTAAATGTCTTGTTCATTATCACAACGTTTTGAAAATATCTTCGAGCATAGGTAAATTCAGTGAATATACAGCAGTTATAAAGACTGATCTAGATTAATGGTACGTATAGCTTAAATGATCCAATATAAACAAAGCAGCTATGATGTTACAGGAAGTCAGTTGAGAGCCCGAAAAGGTCATTGGTAACATCTTTGACTGCAGCACCCGATGATTCGGGTTCAAATCTCAAGGGTGGCATAGATTCCGATCCTAGATCCATTGGGATTGCAGATACACATTGCTGATGAATGCCAGCTGACACGAAACATATGCCCAAGATTTCCAGCTGATAGCCTTCACCCATCTGATTTCCAACTCCAGTAGTTTTTAAGTACAGATTACAATTATCAAATTTAAGAACGTACTAGTGTAGTCTGCAACAATATGAGCCTCATTCTATTTGTCCAAATAACATGTGTATTAGCAAAATGTTGGTTTGAAGATCTTATTATTATTATTACTCCCTTGGGTTCCTAGTGGAACATAGGGCTTCAACTCCACGTCTCCACTTGCTTCTGTCTGCCTTCTGCTGTGCTTTTCACCTGCATCCATGTTAGTCCATACTCTTTCAACTCCTCTTCACACGATCTCCTCCATGTCACCCTTTCACTGATGTCCCACTCGCCGCTTCCCTTTCGGGTTCCACTCGAGCAGTGGCCTGACGCGCGCGCGTTGTCACCCAGCGGTCTCCTCAGCGAGCGAGTGTCCAATCCATCTCCACTTTCTTTTGCATATTAGATCTTAGTATCTAAAATTTGTCTTCTCCAGTTAACACATAATTAAAACTTCAATTACATGTACTAATAAACGTTCAAACTAAGTTCGCATCTGATGGTTTAAAAAAATCTTTTTGAATTTTCACTATTTAAAACTGCTAATACCTTAATCAAAGTTATATCAAACCACAATCTACAAAATCTCAATTCTTATCACAGTTCTTCTTCATTAGGTAACTTTTGCAATGTCAAGTAAGTGAATCAGCAAAAATGATTAACTGTCTGAAGACTGTTAGATTTGATAAGTCTATGATATTATGAGAACATACTTTCAAATTCGAAACAAAAAAATCAGAAAATTTTTCAGGAAGACATGAAAAGCTATGATATTAGCTAATTGTATACTAGCATTCCCATAACCAAAAATCTTGTTATCACTTTTAATTTACTATAATCAGACACAACTATATTTGAAAGATATCCGCTAGACATCCATGAAATCATTATAACCCTAAAATTCTGTCTGGAAACTAATTATTTTACATAGAAAGGGAATTTATATAGACAGAAAAAGTGTGTAGCTATGGGTTCACCAGTTTCACCAACAGCTGCTAATCTTTTCGTGAATACATTCGAAGATAACATTTTCTCAAACATGTAAACAAAATATGGCCAAGGTACGTTGATAATACCTTCGTTGTACTAAAACGAGACCTTCACAGTTCATTGTTGGAGAAACTAAACAGTCAATCTTTAACCACTGAGTTTACTTTGTTAGCAGAATCAAACTTCGGTGAGTTACCTTTTCTAAACTGCCTAGTGATGGAGAAAGAAACTGCATATTTTACTGTCTATATTCTGGAAGAAAGCACACTTCGATGAATATTTAGACTTCGGATCATCATACCTTATCAGTGTAAGGATATCGATTATTTCAAGTGCTTTTTCACTAGCACGCTTTTGATAACGGATGAAAAACCCAAAGAAGGAGGAATATGAAATATTACCAAAATTCTCAAGAAAAATAACTATCCGAACAAATTCATTACTGTAATCAACACCAATACTAAATATGATCGAAAGTGTATTCCAAAAACATGGACCTCGACAGTTGTCATTCCTTACAGGTCAAATAAATCAGACAATATCAGACGAGTACTATATCAGTCGTTTCTTCAAAATGCTTGGCACACTAAAAAGTAACCTTGTTGATTTGAAAGGCCAGAATCCAAAAGATTTTCAGACTGTGTCTATAAGATAAAATGCCCAAACCACGTGAAGAATCAGGCTCAAAAGAAATGAACAGTGTATAGCTAATATTCGACCAACGGGAAATTTGGTGAAACTAGAAAAGCTTGAAAAAGCACTAGCCATAGGTCTCGTACAGAATCAAGCCACAAAATCGATTTTGACAATACTGAAAACATCCAGAAAAATTTTAAAAATTATAAAGAACTTCTCATATCAAAAGCACTTCATATTAAGCGAAATCCGAACTGTGTGAATAGGAGTGACGAATTAAGCTAGAGTTTGACTTGGCTTCAACACTCGCCTCATGGAGCGGCATAAACGACAGAAATGTGATCAGTTATTTCATGATGTAAACATATGCTGTTTTTATAATATCATACACTTATCAAATCCAACAGCCTTCAAATAGTTGATCATTTTTGCTGATTTACCCACCTGACAATGCAAAAATTACCTAATGCTGACGAAGTGTGATTAAGTTACTGTATGTGAACTAAGATTTTGTAGATTGTGGTTTGATATAACTCTGATTAGGGTATTAGCAGCACCGAACACCGAAATGTCAGTAAAAACAATATCGTTTTGTTTTTTTATATATTGCGAAATACAAAAAACTTTCCTAATAACGTATACTAATATCTTCAAAGTACTTTTATTGCCATAAATGACTATACTGCGAAGTAATAATGTGGCATGTCGTACTGATAAGATTTATCAGTAGTATATAGTGGGATGTTCATCAGCATAGAAACATCAGATAGTGGAGAAACAGATTTGTCGTCAAAGTGAGCAAATGAGCGAGCCTTGCGGCAAAACATGGAAGACACGAAAAGAGGACAAAGAAACACTATGAAGCTCAGAAGTAGCACACATAGGAGATTTGTGCAAACGACGATTCGGAAATAAGGTGTACATGACTTTGCTACAGGGAGATACCAAATGCCAAATAGACATTCCGTTACGAAGTCTATTGTCTTTTACCATTACAGCAACACAGATGAATCAGCTGTTCTTACCACTTTTAACTTATTATTACTACCGTCCACGATAATACATATATATATATATAAACTGGTTATTATTCTAAAGCGAATCAGTTTCAAGTATATAATTTGGCTAAAGCCGAGTTAACATATCTATGATCCACTATACTCTTCAATAATCTGTAGGTCATCTTGGAAAATCAAAATAAATCTTACTCCTAAAGAAACAAAATTAACTTTAAAATTGACTCTTACTTAAAGCTTAAAACATATGCTATTTCAATGCGCCTGTATTTCAGAACACTTTAATTTCATGTAAAACAACTATATGTTCCTTACTGTTTATCAGCACATATGCATAAAGTATAGGAGTGAGCGTAAATTTTACGAATAATACTTTACTTTCAAGGTAGATATCGTTGTTAAACTTCTAGTAGCTAAAGAATAGCTGAAAATTAAGGGGAATTGGAAATCTGTTCAGTCCTAGTGTGCGACTTGTCAGCAGTGCTGATCAGTGATGCATCAGGCCACAGGGGATGGGATAGTTAGAGAATATATTATTACTCATTCAATCGCAGTGTTTAACCAATGAAAATCTGTAATACTCTTTATTTTATTATGCTTTTATTTTAGATTAGTATGCTTAACTTCCATATTGAAGCTACCAGAATAACGTGAAGTTGTGAAGGGAATGAAGAGTTATTAAAGTCAAAAACATTAGGATAATTTTCTATAATACAAGCTGCTTACCTTTTCAAACAGTTTCATCATTTCATCGGATTGTTGCTCTCCTTCAAAAATTATTTCCCGACTACGGTCGAACATATTCAGATCAGATATACGTAATGACTTTCATACAACTGCTTTGTATCTCGAATCCTAAATTCATTAGGTAAAGTGTTAAAAACTCAAGTTAATTCACTGAAAAGTTTTTAAAATAACTGTCAATGAGAATTATTGTAAAAGTTTATGCGAAAATATGTATTCTCCTATTGAAAAATGGAATTTGCCTTTGTGTATTTGGTATAATAATGAATTTTCTATAGTTTGTTTGTAAGGATTAGTTTTGTTTTTACGAATTGATCATGGATTGACATCAGTTAGAAAACTACTGAAAACTAAGGAGTACTAGACAGATGCTGTTTCATCCTAGTTTCGGAATCATCGTCAGTGCACACCCCTTTGGGGTTCGAACCCAGGACCTTTCGGTTACAAGGCAATGTGGAAGTTAGAATTCATGGGCCATTGAATCGGGTGCCAGTGGCTGAAAGGTATACAAGCTTGCCTTGTAACCGGAAGGTCGTGGGTTTGAACCTCAGTGGTGACGTACTGCCAATGATTGCCAAACAGCTGTCCAGTAATCCCTGGTTTTCAATGGTTCTCTAAATGATATCAATCTATGATCAACTCATAAAAAATAATGATGATTTTTCAAGGTTTTATTAGTTAGTTTAGTGAAGTTAAGTAATTGATATAGCAGATATTCAAACAATGCATTGCCTGCTTGCCCCTTGAGAATATCCCTATATGTGTCGTTAAAAGGAAATTTCAAGCGTTTTAAGATTCTGAAAGAGTAATAGTGAATAAAAAGCAGCACTTATGATTTTTTCGGCTTATAGCAGAAGTCATGATTGAGAGTGACATTTTTTGACGGTTGAATACGAAGCATAAGACATTAACCAGTTGTTGTATTTTAAGTAACTGCAGAAACTAAAAGGGTTGTACATATTCCTTTGATATTTATTTCAATATAAACAGCTCGAGATATTAACTGTCGCCGTATAAAGTGATATATCTTACAAAATCTGTGCATTTGACAATTTAATTTTTATTAATGGCTTATATTTAACAATTAAACACACTTGAATTAAATCATCATAATAAGAAATAAGAGGTGATAGTTGAGATCTCAGTTACAGGATCAACATACTGTGGTGCAGGTATGTCAAAGTGATAAAACACGTGGAGCTAGTGTTTTGTGTTACTCATCAGCAAACAAATAAGACTTGGCTGGAAGTCTAAATAATTTAGAGTTATCTATCTCTTTATTGAACTTAATTGTCAAACTGGTTTACTCAGTTCAGCTGAGGAATGCACTAGCCTGATTTTACACGCAGAAACAAATGACATCAGTTCAAACATTGATTCTCACGACTGCGCAAGTTTTCAAAGTGAATCATTAATACATCACTTGGTTTAGAGTAATTTTATGCACATTGTCGGAACCAGTTAGATGATAATAAAAATCCACTGATAAAATTTAGCAAAAGAGGAAATACCTAACTTAAACTTATTTATAGTTAAACAACGAGGTAACTCATACCAAAGTAATCGGTGCTACTGATTTTAGTTCTCTAAGACGTTGCGTAAGCGAATAAGTGTTTGGAGCGATCTAATTACAATATTGATACTTATTTGGATGCTTCAACCAACTTTGTACCTATTTTCCTCTTTTCTCTAAGGCCACATATCATTGCTATGACATTTGTAAATCACATGTTGGCTTGTTCTTTATTATTTGTCTTTGTTTGTGTTTAACCTCAAATTGTAATGCTTCTAATTGTAGTTGTGTCATGTTATTGATAATGTGGCCAAGTTAAACTTTAAGCACCACTAACTACCAATGGCGTGCGACCGCACCAATGACCTTGAACTGCTCACTGAGCAAGTTTGTGAAATCCGGCAAATAATGTTGTCATCATCAATAAAATTTGCTCATCGAAGTGTTATGTTATTAAATGGGATATTTAGCAAGTTTCAGCTTAGGTTCCCGAAAGATGAAGTTACTCTTTAAGCCAAGGACAAGTTAGGGTTAGGTTAACCTAACAAAGGTGACAGTAGGTTCGGTTCGAGTTAGATTACGGTTAGTTTAGGGATGTGGTTAAATTACTGTTGATATAATTATTAAGAATAGAACGAGTGAACTGTGGTAGAGTATAATTTCACTGTGTGTAAAATTTATTTTGATAAAGTCTAACAGTGTTATACAGTAGTAATATTTAGTGACGACGTATATAGTAAATATTACTGTATAACACTAAGAAGCTTTATCGAAATAAATTTTACCCATAATGGAATTATACTTTGTTGATACTCCAACCTAAAACTGAGAACTACTTTTATCACATGTGAGAGGAAGCTGTCCTCAGTAACACTTTTATGCAATTTTTATGGAATTTTTCACAAATATATGTATTCCATACTTAAAATGCCTCCTTCACGTGACTGGTGCGTTTGAGGTCATTTACTGATTGGTAGTTAGTGGTGCTTAAAGTTTAACTTTGCCGATAATGTGGCATTTAGTTTGTGTAAATCAAGGTCATTCTAACCTTGGAGTTTCTGCGGGAATCGTTGGTGTGTGATTCCTGTGAGAAGAGATTTTATCCTACTTTGTTGGGAATATTCAACCTTATTTCAAAGTACTTCTTACAGTTGACTTTCAGTTAACTTTTTTGTACTACAATGCTTGTTTTTTACGAGAAACTTATTTGATATCCCACAGCTGCCTAACAGCATTGTTGAGGTAATTTTGAGTTTTTGATGTCCATATTGTTTAATAGTACCGTAGATTTTATGTCAAATAACGGTCGTTTTGCTACCGTCGGGATATTTTTTGACTGCGGGTAACTCAAGGAAGTTTAGGTTACTCATGCAGTAGAGCAGAGAGATTGATTTCCTGCTTTCCCATCATAACACGAGGGTTTTGATCGCCACTTGTTGAAAACCTTCAACATTATAATGTTAGTTATAAATATTAATGAAACCATCATCAATAAAATATAAAAAGTGAAAATAAATTAACATTACAAAACGTCACATGTAAATGATTACAAGGGTGATCCCATAAAGAGTAGCATATCCCATTCTTCTACAAAAGAAATTTCCCCTTTAAAGCGACACTTTTCCTGAGGACCTGTAGTCCTTTTTGAAGATTTACCTGAAATACAAAGAATCGTAATTTAGGAAATCGTTATGCAATTTAAAGGAAAATTGTCGTGAGTGAAATAAGCGCCTTAAAATACCAGTTAAAATATAGTTCTAATTTTTGTTTCTAAATTTCAATGTCTAGGATTATATGAAAGTTTATTACATAAAAATTCATTTTTCTGTCGCAAGAACCTATTCACAGAACATGTAGAAGGTAGCTATAGATATTTGGCTTTAATATGAAATAATCACAAACATTTTCAGTCTTTTGACGTCTTCCATTTTAGGGGGAGACAAAAGATTTCGTATGTAATCGCATAAATTTAATCGTCTTATCACCTTTCATTACGCAACTATATAAAGACATAGGTTTGCACGATAAAAGTAATGCAACTGAGGACATAAATTCACATTGGAATGAAAAACTGAAAAAAACAAAACCTTTATGTCCACAACGTATCCTTCGAAAAATCAACTAAAACCAGTCAATAGTATAACTTCGGTGAAAGTAATGAATAGCTGCTGCTGATAATCTAAGTTCTTCACTCTGTATGTAAGCTATCTTATGCAACTACTTATAGTCATTTCGGAATATTATCATACGTATTTGAGATATACGCGTAGATTCTTCAGCAGGATTTTAGAGTCCGTATTATTCTCAAGATACAGTTTGTAGGGATTCTATTTGCTTCAGGTAAGAATTCATGGGCCACTGAATCGGGTCCCAGTGACTGAATGGTTTAGCAGCTTGCCATGAAACCGGAAAGTCTTGGGTTCGAACCCCGGTGGGTGCGTACTGCCAATGAGTCCTAAACTAGGGCGAAACACCTGTTTAGTACTCCCTGGTTTTCAATGGTTCTCTATATTATTCATGACATGTATCTCTGGATTCACAAATTCGTAGATTAGTGTTTAAATCCCTTATAGCACTTCAAATTTTATTGTGGTCTTCTGAAACAATATTTCCAGAAGTATTTCCCGGTTTCTCAATTCTTCCAATATTTGAATTTTACAGGACAAATTTAATGGGTAATTTTAAACAGAATGATATTTAATAGCTGGCATAAAGTGAATTAAATATTTTAAAAAATAATTCAGAAATTTCATTTGGTGGTTTAATTCTTAATAAATAATGTACAACGATCAACAATTTTCATCTGTTCCGGAAATATCCATTGGGAGTTTCCTTTTTTCTAAATTCATTTGAATTCTAATTCAGCATCAAAATCCCGACAAGAAAACAACAATTTTTAACGATGTAAAGACTCTAAGGGAGGAGAATGTTGTTACATAATGACATTAGTTATGATGTCACTGAATCCCGGATGGCTTAAGATAGCAGTTTCGTCCCAGTTTGAGACTCTTTAACACTACCTACTCACAATTTCCACTTAGATCGGTTTTATAACCGAGTTATCAACTGAGTATGTCGTTCTTCAGTCAATCAGTCGAAATCCGATGAACTATGAGTTCTGAACTCCGTAACCTCGGTGAGAATCATTTCTCCATTTGCCAATATGTTGTTTAACAGTCTTGAAGACTGCACCATCTGTTGTCTTGAATAAATCTACATGCGATTTCCTCCTGAGCCCCTGTTCTTTGAATCATTTATAAAATACACAGTAGATATGATTCATATTTTAATGTATTATACTGTTCTTAGACAAGGAAATGAAAACTATGTAGACTGATAAACTTCATGATTAAATTTGCACGAGTACACAAATGTAAAGGATAGACTGTTAACAAATATCATTTATTTTATTCTCTTCAGCCTTAGTAACCATTAAAGTACATTTTATTCAACCCAATAAAAATTATCGGACTACTGAGTTGCATTTCCCCTATTTATAAAAAACTCTCGTTTCTGTAAAATTTTATGCCAAGAGTTTGTGGAAACTATCACAATTATTTACCTTTCGAACACTAAATCAAAGAATACAATCTTATTGACAGATAATACATATAACTAACTATTTGGATTTGTGGAATTTTTAAACATAAACACATCTATAATTGTATATATTGTTGGATTTACATGTTCAAGTTGCTCCAAGTCAGTGAGTTTATGGTTGAGATATCATTTTAGTTAACTGTGCTGAACTATATTGCATGTTGTTGTATTGTATAGTTGTTGTCGCTTTTTGCCCTTTTTTCTGTGAACTGTTTCCTTTGTTGGTGTTGTTCTCATTGTTTGTCCGTTATTTTCTGATTTTGAGGGGAGCAACCCAAAAAGTCGCTTCTCTCTAAACTTTACTTAATGTAATCATTCCTTTCTCAGGCGTGAGGCTAGCAACCCCACCCTGTAAACAAAATTGCTACAGAAACTTCAGCAGATGAACCTCTTTGCACCAAAAGAAAAAGTCTGTGTGGGAACATGGAACGTCCGAACTATGTACGAGACAGGGAAAGCTGCCCAGATCGCCAACGAGATGAAAAGATACGGAATACAAGTGCTGGGAATATGTGAGAGCAGATGGAATGGGAGTGGACTCACCAAATTGTCAACAGGTGAGTCAGTGATCTACTCCGGTCACCCAGAAGATAACCACACGCACACCGAGGGCGTGGCTATCATGATGTCACCAACGGCAACGAAAGCCCTGATACAATGGGAGGCGATTTCGTCCAGGATAATGACCGCCAGATTCAACTCCAAAGGAAGGAAAGTGTCAATCATACAATGTTATGCACCCACAAACAACGCAGACCTCGAAAAGAAAGAAGAATTCTACAGGCAACTACAGGCAACAATGGACAATACTCCAGCTGGCGACATGAAAATACTAATGGGAGACATGAACGCCAAACTGGGACCAGACAACACAGGAAGGGAACTCATCATGGGTAGAGAAGCTCTAGGAGAAATGAATGAAAACGGAGAACTCTTCGCCGACTTCTGCGCCTTCAACGAACTAGTGATTGGTGGCAGTGTATACAAGCACAAAGATATCCACAAGGCTACATGGGTGTCACCAGACGGGCAAACCAAAAACCAAATCGACTTCATCTCAATCTCAAGGAAGTGGAGGCGCAGCCTACTGGACACAAAAGCAAGAAGAGGAGCAGACGTTGGCTCAGACCACTATCTCGTACAAGGGACAATCCAAATCAAATTAAAAGCTTTCAGGGAATCAGGAGCTGCAGATAGACCACAAGCCAAGTTCAACACTCAAAAGCTGAAGGACCAGGCTACAAAGGACATCTTCATTGCAAGCATAAAGGACAAAGCCGAGACACAAATCAACACCAGCGAAGAGGTCAGCGTCGAAAAGCACTGGAACAACTTGAAAACGGTGTGGAGCCAAACCTGCATAGAAATTCTAGGCAGAAAAAAGAGACAGGACAAACAGTGGCTCACTACGGACACTTGGAAACTAATAGAAGAGAGAAGGACAGTGAAACAAAAGATTATCCAGTGCACTGACGAGCAACAAAAACAGGAGCTGAATGCAAGCTACAATACACTGAACAAAAGAGTGAAGAAGAGTGCCAGGGAAGACAAAAGAAAATATTATGAAACCATGGCAAACGAAGCAGAACAAGCTGCAGGCAAAGGAGACCTCGCCACACTCTACCAAACAACTAGGAACCTTTCGGGCAAACGTTCGACACAGATTAAGCCAATAAAGGACGACAATGGAAAGTCAATCACCAAAGAGGTGGAACAGAGAAAGCACTGGGTTGAACACTTCAAAAGACTTCTAAATCGTCCGCCACCTACAACACGCCCAGCAATACCAACAACGGAAGCAGAACTACCAGTGAACACTGACCCCCCGACGAAATCAGAAGTCCTGAATGCAATCAAGATGCTAAAAGCTGGGAAAACACCGGGACCAGATGGAATCCCAGCAGAAGCTTTGAAAATAGACCCAGAGACAACAGCGGACTTGATGACACCACTGCTGGAGAAGGTGTGGAAAGAGGGCAAAGTACCCGAGGATTGGAAGAAAGGATACTTATTCAAACTTCCAAAGAAAGGAGACTTAAGTCAATGTAAAAACTGGCGTGGAATTATGCTTCTGTCCATTCCAAGCAAGATACTAAGTCGCATCATCCTGGAGAGAATCAAACAAGCCCTAGATGAAAAACTTCGTCCGGAACAGGCTGGATTCAGGAGAAACAAATCATGTATTGATCAAATCGCCACTCTACGGATCATCATTGAACAAAGCTTGGAATGGCAGTCACCTCTTGTTATGTACTAGTTTTCCTTGTCGCCAAATTGTTATGTACTCGTCGCTAAATTATTGTTATGGACTACTCGAGAAACTAATAGTCCTGACGCAAGAAGGCGGAAATCAGAAGACCACTAGGTTTGCGATGATACTTCTATTGTCCAAATACAAGGAGACGAAAATAAATGGTCTCACACCAAAGTGGTAAGTAAGTAAAGTATTTCACACAAATTGTGTGAGCGAATTATATATGACAAGGGTGTGAACAATCATTAGACAGTCTTAACATGAATGGCTAATTATAATGAAGTATCGATCCACATATACATAGCGAAATATAACAGACATGTCAACAACCACCATGTATGGATATATGTCACCAAGCAACGGACTGTCAACAAACACTCATATTATATAATATAATATAAGGAGAATATACATTGTTAAAGGAGACAAGTTCATACAAGTGAAATGGTCACAGACTAAGCGAGCAAACAGTAAGAGAGACCAACATACACACACACATATTTTATAGATATATGTATATGGATACAAATCACCTCTCTATCTCAACTTCATCGACTTTGAAAAGGCCTTCGACAGCGTCGATCGAGAGGTCATTTGGAAACTACTTCGCTACTACGGGGTCCCATCGACAATTATACATCTCATCCAACAGTTATACGACAATGCTGCATGCCAAGTAATCCACAACGGGAAACTTACGGAAGCCTTCGAAGTGAGGACGGGAGTGAGGCAAGGCTGTCTACTATCACCAATGATCTTCCTGATTGCAATTGATTGGATAATGCGACAGACAACGGCAACCAACGAGGGAACAGGCATAAAATGGACTGACACAAAAGACTTGGAGGATCTGGATTTCGCCGATGATATATGTCTGATTTCCCATAAACTGGAAGATATGCAAGTGAAAAGTAACAAGTTGGCAGAAGAAGCATCAAAGATAGGACTTCACGTGAACATAGATAAAACAGAGGTGATGAAGATTCCTGGCCAACACCAACAGCAACAACAACAACAGACAACAATAAGCATAAATGGGAAGAACCTGAAAGAAACAACCTCCTTTACCTACCTGGGAAGCATCGTTTCAACTACAGGCGGAACTGACGAGGATATCAAAGCCAGAATCGGAAAAGCAAGACAAGCTTTCATTACTCTCAAATCTGTGTGGAGGTCAACAGCACTCAGCATCAAAAATAAGATCCGGATTTTCAACTCCAATGTGAAAGTCAGTGCTACTATACGGATCAGAGACTTGGCGCGTCATAAAGAGCATCTCAAACAAACTTCAGACCTTCATTAACAGCTGTCTTCGCTCAATACCCAAGATCAGAGTGGCCAGAAAAGATCAGCAACAGGGATCTCTGGGAGCGAACCAATCAGGAACCGATTGTGAAACAAATAGGCAGGAAGAAATGGAGATGGATTGGCCATACGCTGAGGAAACCATCAAGTGACATCACTAGACAAGCCATTGCTCGAGTGGAACCCGAAAGGGAGGCGGCGAGTTGGTCGTCAGTGGAAGGGTGACTTGGAGGAGGTCGTGCGAGGAGGAAATGAAAGCATGTGGACAGACCTAGAGCGGGGTGAAACAGTTGGCAGTAAACCGAAGGCAATGGAGACGAGCGGCTGAAGCCTTATGTTCCTCTAGGAACTAAAGGATACAATAATAATAATAATAAAAATTATCGACCGATATATCTCTCATAATCACACGATAAGTAGTTCTGCCTAAACCAGCAGCTATACTTTATCAAACATAAAGGACAAAACTATTAGAATTATTGGGTTTAGGATGCAATAAAAGATATCATGATAAAGCCAAATATTACTAATGCCAATGTGTCCTTTTCATTGATGAGTAGCATTAAATGGTAGTCAATATCAATTTAGGGGGAGTCTTGCTTTTTCAATCTAAAGATATTATCAACTAATTATTTTGTATAAGAAACTGTACATCTACTCGACCCACTACTACTGTGCTGGTGTGATACATACAATGAGTTCCAACGGAATATTATTCTCACATTAAGAATCATCGTATTTGTCAGTGTTAACGCCTGAATACTATTCTCACAGTTCAATACTGCATTAGCGACAGAATACCATATATGTATATTTGAACATTCTATTTCATGTCGTTTAATGTAAACCAAATTCACACGCTCAGTGATTGGTTAAATAATATAAACTGTATATGTGTGAATAGCGGTGTGATCACTTGAAAATATACCTTGGCTTCCGTGTCTTGCCTTCTGCTGTTACACTACTGCTCTGTGAAACTTCCACGTATATTTTAACGAATAATGATGACTTTTAAGTAAGATTTTTAGATTAGAATGAAATCATTCTTTGATAAAGACATAAGTAATAAAAACAAGATAAATCAAAGACTTATTTCTTCAAGCGAATATTTCATCTATGTTTTACCTCTTCACTTTAGTAAAAGTAGAGAAACTATTGTTACTACGTATACAGATTTACACTTCAATTAAAAATTATTGATTAGACAGGTACACTGGTTTATATCCGGTGTCCACTGAGTGAGTCAGTCATCGTCTGACTAACTGTGAAACTGGGTTAAAAGTTTGAATTTTGAAAGCATGTTGCGTTTTCTCAAGGCTGTAGCCAAGAGTAACACATAAGCACAATATATTCTGGTGTCAAATTTAACAACTAATGAACTAAACTGTTGAGTTCAGTGTTTCAGAGGTGAAGTAAGTTATACGACAGTAGAACTCTTCTTGAAATAGAATAATACTGAGAGGAAACTATGTCAAAAATCTCAAGTAGAGTGTATGTCTATAGGTTTTCATCATTATTTTGATGTGGATACAAAATATTAAAATTACTACTTACTTTTGGAAGAGGATTGATCTAAGAGAACTAACTCAAAAGTTGTGAATCGGTTCGCGTATATCTACAAAAATTATATTGAAAAAAGGGAAAGAATTACTTATGCTTTATTCCAGACACATTACAATTCCAATTGATTAAAAGGTACCCATTATAAAGTACAAAAGACTGACTAATGAACAAAAGATATTCTTTCCAATAACTTCTTCATCAGGTCCTACGGTTATCTATTCATAATAGTCTGCTACTTGTGTAGGATCGTCGAGAAGCTCCAGTGATATGTTAATCAGCTTTTAATGACTGAAACTAACTGACATTTTGCTAGGCTATTTAAATATATTAGAATGAATGTGTCCAAATACTAGTTCACTCATAATCCGACATCTTTTGAATGACTTAGCAACATGTTATTTACAATCAGTTGCTTTTACCTATCCATCCTAGTTGCTACACTTCCCACAGTTACCAGATATCTTTTTAATGTGAACATTGCCAGAGGAAAGAATGTCAGCTCTTAACTCAAACACCAAAACAATCAACTGTGTGTATCATTATGAATTTTCATCTTCGTTCATATAAGCAAGATTTCAGCCAATAAGGTTGACCTGAAATAGTTGCTAGAATGACCTTTATAATCGTCAGCTTATATATATATATATATAATGGACATCACTGTACTTCATTATCGTAGCTACATTTTTGTTTGCCTTGTTATTAAGTTGATCGTCTCCAATCTACTAATTTACTGTTTTGGTTTCATTCAATTGCCACTTTCAAGTCTTATAGTATGCCCTTTTAATTTCAATGATGCCAGATAAGCAGAGACTAAGTGTGTAAGACGAAATGTTACTATACCATTCAAACACACAGGATTACTAATAAACCTAGTCTTTGGACAAATTTATACGAATGTATGTGAACAGTTTAGAAACACATCTTATGTGTTATTGGTTTTATAGGGGCTAACGGTATACGGCATGTTGTTAGGCTATTCTCAAACTTTGGAATGAATGTTTTCACATTTTAGTGTACTCATATTTCTGTTTATTTGAATAATTTAGCTAGCTGCCTTGTACCCAGAACATTTACTCTTTCGTTAGACAGTATAAAAATCATGAATTCAAAGGACGGTCTGATCGTAGAATATTCTTTTGGAGAAATTTTCCGAAAGCGCTTACAGTTATAAAATAAAATATTTATTAATCCAATAAAGATTAGTTATACGATGGATACATTTTTTATGTAGAATAACAGGTAAGCTATCGTGTGAAAAACACGCTTGACCGAATGCACTTACAAAATGTTGTGAATCTATTGAAAATTAATTATTAATTCATGGTGTGGAAATATTTTGCACTCTTAAATCTTGTATCGAAATCCGATTCGAGTTAACACTAATTTGTACCACTATTATTTGAATTATTTTTCAATGAATTTTGAGGTATTTTATAGAGGGGCCTTATTAATTTACATAAAAACTGAAATAAAAGTATAACTGAAAAGAATAACTAAGCAAACTCAGCTTTATTAGTCCTCAAAAGGCTGTACATGCATATATATGAAGGCAAAAGACTTCTCATACAGTTTATTTCACTGAGTTTTAAGTGATTACCGTTTGAAAACTAACATGTTACTGATTGTTTAAACAAGAATCGAACATTTAACGTACTGAAACTATGCAGTAATAACTAGTAAATGTACCGACTAAAATGAAAATACTTAAAGAATAACAACAATAGATTGTGAAATAGAAAAGAAAATAAATTCAATGTATAATATTAGAACATTACAAATAATAATTTTTAAGTAATTAAATTCCTGTAACGGTTGATTGAAAAATAGATAAAGAAAGGATGGGCGAATGAACGAAGCTTTCATAAATGTGTAATTTTTTTATTTTTGATTACAGCTTGATACCTCACTGTATTTTTGGTACAAGTATGGAATTTTCAGCGTGGATATCGGTAGCCCGAATTTCGCAGGCCGACCATAGATATCAGGTGTGCGTCGGGGTGAGCTCAAACCCCGGACCATGTGCTTGGTCGGCGAGAGTCCTAACCACTGTGCCACCGACGCACAGGAGTTGGGATTCATGGGTCATTGGAACGAGTCCCAGTGGCTCAATGGTCTACGAACTCGCCTTGTAACCAGAATGTTCTGGATTTGAATCCCGGTGGGTGCGTACTGATGAAGAGTCCCCAGACTAGGCTGACGAAACAGCTATTCGGTACTTCCAGCTGGCTTTCTAATGGTTCCCTAACTGATGTCAGCTGATGATGAGATCCTCCATCCAATCGAATGTATAATTCTCACTTCATAGTTTAAGATTATTTCGAACAGTGCATAAATAATGATTTTGAATGTTTGATAGAAGGGCACATGTATGTCCTGAACTTTGGGTATGAATATCTAATGTTTTCTTTATATTTAGTGTTTGTAGAACGAAACTGGATAGGGATAGTGATAATGTCACTTCATATTCTACTAGTTAGACTGATGCATCCATTTAGGCATTGTAAGTTATCTCACATTCAAATTTTCAGAAAAACTCTTTCGTGAGAAAAGTTTTGTGCATGAGTACTGATAAGCAAAGAAATATGAGTTGTCTGCTTACAAATGATTGATTTTAACCCATCCAAAATTAATACAAAGTATGTGATGACTTCTAGTTGGTGATCATCTAGCTGAAAATAAAGTGATGCGATTCAGTGAGAGCCTAGTACAATCGAACAAACTAGACACCTTTAAGATTCACTCGAGAAATTTTTTTTAATTTCTATATAAGAAAGTAATATACCGCTAGTGAGACATAAAGATCAGTCGTTTACTGAGTTTTAGTCATATTAGTGTTAATTTTAAAGTTTGTACTTTACTTTTCGATTCAAAATATTCTTTAGTTATCTTAGCTAGTGTTGTGAATAACTTGTCAGAATGCATGAAAGTAAATATTACAGAGTATTCTACAAACTATAAACCTACATACAGGAAACTAGGAAGTGTTAAATGACTAATACTTACTTCATCAAATGTTGGATTTGTTTTAGGTTTTGCAATTTGAAAACATTTAGTAAATTCTTGTCCAAGTATATCCTTTCTCAGGCATAAATAACTTGGACCAGCCCGTCTAATTGTCATATCTTTTGTCAGCAGTAAGTGAAACGGTAATAAACCTAAGAATTGTTTTTCTGAAACATATGCCGACACATCCAACAGTGATGGATTCTGATCAAATCGACTATCTTTCTCGATTAATTCAATCCACGATAAACCTTTATTGTACAATTTAAAGGAAAAAATATGAAGTCCTCCGCGTTTTTGCTGATTAACTAACTTTGCACTAATATCCAATTGATAAAAATTTTTAGCGATATATATCAATTGTGATCGTAGATAATGTGGAAATTGTTCACGTACACTTGAATATTCCAAATCAATAACATTATTTTTAATTGCAGTAACTTGTATACCAGGTGCTTTAAGTTTTGGATATGAAAAACGCAAATACTCGTGTAATTCATTGATGTTATGCATAAAATCAACAAAATTTTTACCTAACACTTGTAGTATACTTCTGAAACCATTATCAGTCAAATACTGAACTGTTGTAATCCCGAATTCATAATAAATATCCTCTTCTGGTAAACCGATAAATTCAGAAACTGCACTGACTATTCGTGTTAGTAGTCGTGTAGAATAATTTTGTCTTGTTTGTATTTCAAGTGGCTGGCCATTGGTTACTTCAACAGCAGCTGACCATACTGTTTCACCGAATGTGCTTTCAACATAACGTCGCAAAACTTCGAATAGCACACCATACATAGTTGTAATACTTACTCCAAAAATAACCAGAATAACTGTTCCTCTTTATTTAAGTTATATTTATACATGATTTGAAAACGTTTATCACTGTCATCAAGATACTGTTGAAAATGATAACACTGACCTTATCATCACAATGGGAATAGAAAATGTTTTTTGAGTGGAAAAAGACTTAAATTTTCTTGAAGCTTATTCAATTTTAATTGCTTCTCCTTATGCTTATATACCGCCCAAATTTGTTTTTCCTCATTAAATGAATCAGATAAACAATAATGCATTTTGAAGAGATTTAGATGTTTGGACGGTAAAATACGAAGTTCAGAGTACTACTTGCACTATTACTAAGGACAACTGATCTCATTTGTTTTAATTGATGTACTATAGTTTAAAGTGAATGAAGAGAAATTAACACTCAACATTTGTTTTAAAAGTCATTATGCATTGTCATCACGCTTAGATCTACTTGTGTGATTGTGTGAATAGATTTATTCAAATTGCAAAATAGGTAAATTTATTTACAAAATATTTTAATGAGATATTTTGTGAAAAAAATTTGACTATGAAATCAGAACAAAAAATCACATTTGCAACAACCAGCGTACAGTACCGACTCTCAGAAAAGTACAGAGCTTTTCTCCTATAGAAACTAATGTAACTAATTTACTTCATACCCATATAACAGGTGAGTGGTAGTTTGGAGTGTCAAAAGATATGCTTCTGATATACACTCGCAATTCGTCTCATTAGTCTGTGAGTTTGATTTGTCTCCACAATCTGTCCATTAGTCTATTAGTTAGATAGGCATAAATCACCTGTTGTATGATGGCAATCAACCAATCAGAATCCAGTATGAAATTAACAACTATTATCCCAACCTGGTGACTGGACAAATATATGCCATATATTTTCATAATCTTGATCACCTATCTTCTCACTTGTTTTGAAAATACACGTTCCTAACCCTACTGCTGTGAGTCTTTTGGATTTCACCGGTTCAGGTCAGGGTAATAATCGACTTGGATGCTATCATCAGTTAGCATTTGTACCCACACTCGACAACATCATAATAGAATCATATAATTAAGTTGAGTACTAGTGTTATTGGTTTTATATTCACAATCTGAACTCGTAGTTATAGTAGTCAATATTTCTTGTGTGTATACTTTCCAACATGTATGTCTTTCACTCACAATATGTTAGTCTCATTGTGGCATCTGCTGCTTCATATAAGTAGCAAATTTAAAAATCATGCTTTACAGCAATTCTTCGTTTCTACTCATATTGTTAATTTCTAAACTCTTCCGAAAAATTACTAGTAAAAATTCCTTATTACTTTCTCTCATTGTTTAACGATATTACTTCACTATTCAAAGACTTTGAAGGTTAAATTATCGATGTTGCGTATAATTCCAGCGTCTGCAAATAATAGTTAATAAAGAAGTAAGAAATTATTTGATAAATTATACTAATAAACATGAAAGTATGGTGGAAAAATAACAGAATACTTTACGCTACGCTTATCAACCAAATAGTTGTATGCATTGAAAGACAATGCGAAAACTTCTATTATTGGGTGAATATTTTCGAGTCAAGTGAACCATTTCCTAGATGTTCAAGTGTTGTTTTGCAGGGATTTGATTGGTTTCAGGATTCCATTATGAAATGAGACTGGTTAGAGGACTATTGGAAAACCTGGGAGTACTGAACAACTGTTTCGTCCTGGTTTGATTCCTCTCAAACCAGGTTTTCTAATACTCCTCTAACAGATGTCAGTTCATAATGAAATCCTATTTTCTAGATGATTTCGAAAGAATGTCATTCTGTAGCATAATCTTAAAACTAATGAGGGAGAAATGCACAAATCGTGTTAGATTATCAATGAAGTACTGAACTACACTAGACAGTAATTAAATCTCAGAGAAACTTTCAAACATTTACACTGAAAGTTGGTGGAAGATACATTTAAGTACAACAACTTTAATTCGAGCCTAGATTTACATAATTCTGGTTAAAACTAAGTTTCTCCATTGTTTATGGAGTTTGTCTGCTAATGCAGCATACTGAGTGAAATAGTCTCTTTTGTAATGTCTTAATTGTCTATTATTCTTCCTAATTCTTCACCATCTTTTGAGATTTATACTTACCACGAACCATTTTATACGGTATATAACCTATTTTGTCTCTTGATGTTTAAATACAGTTATGATCACAAATATTTTGTCTCATTTCATTTTATGATCATTAAAAACGATGTATATACAACTTTGTTGATCTATAATAAATTCTTTGAAAAGAGTCTCTTCTCTGAATCATTTGTTTTAATTTCCTATATGCTCTAGTGAGAGTTTTCTAAGTGTACACGCTTTTTATCTATTTATTTCAATTTTATTTTTGATATTCCAAATTTTATGATTGTTGACAGCTGTCATGCTTTCTCATTCATTCACTTCATGTCATATTACCACTTCGCAATACTGAACGAAGAGCAATCCGCACAAAGCATGCACTTTCCAAATGTATCTCTGAACAGTATCCACCATACTTAGCAAAAGGACAATGCAAGACAGTTACTAGCTCAGTTCTGGAGCACTTGGTAAACTCAAGCGACACAGATCCACCAAAGTCGTCTTTCAAGATTATCTACAAGGTGAGGCCAGATGGTAAGAATGACGTCAGATTTTGGCATTTGTGTATGGCGGATACGTTGCCAGTTCGTCAATACAACCCCAAACTCTTTATACAGAAAAATTTCGTCCATTATCTTATTCTGTCATGGTCTTAACCTCTTCACCAGTCGTTTCCTATAAAGTTTTTGTTTTTAATAGTTAGTTTGCTTTTACTCTAATAATAAATTCACTACTATCATTTTCGCATGTTCCTTTTGTACATTTTCTTACCCTCTTCACACTTGTTAAACAGACACTCAGCTACCTCAACAAACAGTTTTAACCTTATCAAATTCCAAACCCTTTCTTCATTTGTTCCGTTGAGGATTGCGTAATTCATAACTTCTATTTCTACTTTTGAAGCCACTGCAAAGTAACTATACCAATTATGTCACCCTTCTCAGTTAGTCGATATTGGATTTTAATATACATTTTTGGTAAATATAAATACGACTCTGGAAATGACTTCGTCGATAAAGAAAATTTTCTTTTTTGAATTGTCTTTTATTTTCCTCATGACTCAGTGGGTACTTTTGATAAACCCTTAAAATTCTTTGGTATATCTCATATAATACACATTTAGATTTCTTTTATTCCACAATGTGCAAGTGAATTGATTTTCTCAAGTGGGTGTTCTAAAAACTAGTATCTCATGTGTTTCCCACTCAGCGACTAGACATTTGGTTTAATGAAACAGTGTGTTTATTTCCTCTAGGTCACATTCAGCTATGAAACTTAATTTTAGAAAAAAAAATGCATCCGTCATAAGTTTCTGAGTTGATTATTTTTCGAAATTTCTGCTGCAAAGAAGAAGACTCGAAGGAATGTTCGTTAGGACAGACGTAGACTAAGTACATAAATTTGACTTACAATATCTTCAATGCTGTATTTCCATATCATTTGCAAATTGGTCGAATATCACCACATTCGATAGCTTGTTGGATTTCGCACAGTGTTTCTAACATTCTTCTCACAGTTCTGTTCTTCGATTACCTTTTCCTAGTGTCCAAAACACATCATAACTTCCCTGAATTCAGATATGATGGAGTAGATTTGTATCTCAAGTGGATGATTTTGATGTGGTTGTGTTCTCTGAGCTGGATGGTTAATTTCCGAAGCTTTCTTCGCCCTACTAGGCAACATCTTCAGAGCATACTTTAATTTGGAGTGAGCTTTTAGATTTCTCCGCGAGTTTATGAGTCGTCTCTCCTGGTGACCTTGAACGTGACTGGATCACCAGGAGGGCCGACTCATAAACTCGCGGAGAAATCTAAAAGCTCACTTCAAATTAAAGTATGCTCTGAAGATGTTGCCTAGTAGGGCGAAGAAAGCTTCGGAAATTAACCATCCAGCTCAGAGAACACAACCACATCAAAATTTTTTGAATTCATTTGCTGATATACTACTTATATCTGATTATAAGTAGACTCACCACACTGCTATAGCATTTTAGAGTCACTTTTAGAAAAAAAAGAATCTAGTTAATATGACTTATTTAACTTCCGTACAGTGTAAGAATTCTTTTTCAAGTAAAGTTATTAGATTTTTTCACTCAGATTTCTCATGACATATACATTAAAACTGACTAAACAAAGGTGATTTCTTTTATGAACTATTATTATTTTTAACGCAAAATTTAAATAATGTTTGATAGTGTGATAGTAAAGATACTTGAATTCAGTTTAAGATGGTACGATACTTCTTTGTATTTTAACTGTAACTTTTGGATAAAATTTTCTATAAATAAAGGTAAATATGTGTGCTACTATGGTCTTGTCGGAAATTTTCAGGAACTGTGCTCTTTAAGAAAGTCAAAAATACCCTTTATAGACTATGTTGACAATTTTGTCTAGATATTAGGGGGAAACCTGTACAGCTAACAGTTCCTATTCGGGTTCTACTCGAGTGATGGCCTGGCATGTGATGTCACTTGATGGTTTCCTCTGAGTATGGCCAATCCATCTCCATTTCTTGAATATTTGTCGCACAGTTGGTCCCTGGTTGATTCGTTGCTTTTCGTTGTTGCTGTACGTTTCTGGCCATCTCATCTGAAGTATTGAGCGAAGACAGTTGTTGATGAAAGTCTGTAACTTGTTCGAAGTACCCTTTGTGAAATGCCAAGTCTCTGATCCGTTTAGTAGCACTGACTTTACATTGGAGTTGTGGTTGTTGCTGTTGGCCAGGAATCTTCATCACCTCTGTTTCCTCTATGTTCACCTGAAGTCCTATCTTCTCCGAGTGTTTCTTCCGAGAAATTGCTGCTTTTCACTTGTATATCTTCCAGGTTGTTGGAAATAGGACATATATCATCGGCAAAGTCCAGATCCTTCAAGT